TTTCACGCTAGCCAGTTACTTTCTAACATAACTTTGTCGCCTTGATTTAAGCTACCCATATTATAAGGTCTTGTTTGTTTGTGTGAGTGCTTAGTGGATTAGAGAGGCGTTTATTTGCAATAAAACTAATAATACCATCTGAAAGTCGTGTTGGAAAGTCTCAATTTAAAATGTATCCAAATGCATATGTGAATATAGCTGTCACATAAATGTAGTGGAGTAAAAGTACAATATTTCCCTCTGAAATGGTGTCTCATAGAAGTATAAAGTGTAAATCAGGTCCCACAGTCTCTCTCTCACACACTGCAGCCGGGAGCAGCAGCAGCCACCATGATTCTTTGTCTGTTTAACTTTGTTTGCAATAAACCTTATTTTGGTCATAATAGACATTTGTGACTCCTATGTTGCCTCCCTTGAGCCAGGGTCACAACACATGCATGAGGCTGTCTGCGGGAATACAGGCGCTGAGCTTCCCCTCCCTCCTGCTGTTCCTAATTACACCCGTGGGCCGTGGCACAGACCACTTGAGCCACAGGAAGGCAGGATGTAAGTGTCAAACAGTGCAAAAAGAACTGAGAGTTATTGTGGTAGGCCTAAAGCAACAGAAAACAAATTAGTCAATGGTCTATGGAAATAAAAGATAAAGTGAGGATGTTTGAAATCCTCCTGGATGCTGAACTTAGTTTCCACAAACATATTGTGACGGCCCACACAGAGGGCATTTTTATCATTTTTATCTATTCAATTTACTTTAAATAGCGTCAATTCAGAATAGATGTTATTTCATTGCACTTTTCATATAAAGCAGGTCCAGACTGGACTCTTTGTAATACGAGACAAAAATCTATTACACAATTTGGACGCTCAGAGCGTGGTACATAGGACCTCATGACTGTTCATAATTTGCAAGCCTTCTGCTCTCAAGACAAAGTGTTCATGAACCAAGACCTTCCAGTAACATCCCTCTCTGAGAAGTCTCTGTCCAGAGTGCCCGTATGTGGCCTCATTTCAAGTCCTGTACACGTGACAAGTTGGGATACTTTCCATACAGTAGTGTTTGCTGTTAAGTTTACATTGTACAAAAGCCAGCATGATCCAACAACATGGAAATTAACATGATTACATATGCAGTTAAAGCATTCAAACATTATGTTTTTTATTATGATTATGTGTAATGAATTTTTCCAACATTCCTTCTGGATCTGGTGCACAACAAAGCAGCTATAGAACATGCTTCCCCCCTGTAGCTACCTACCTACACAGGGATATAACAAGCTGACTTAACCCCCATGTGCGCAGAATTAGCGGTGGGTACATTAAACACAAAGCCCTGTGTGTCAGTTAAGCAACCAGCATGCTGATGGCCCACCTTCACAGATAGAGAGTTGTCCTGGAGCCAGCTGCTCAAGCCACACTAATGCACAAAAATAACATGTTTTGTTTCTTACCTATCAGGAAAGTTAGCTCCAACCAGTAGCATTGCTTGCTCTGAAACACACCGTACTAACATTTACTGAGGCCTACTGCGTGTACTAGACACTGGACCTCTGTAACTGGCAATCTCAAACTTCTACTCTAATGTTAATTAGTGCTCAGAAATGGCTGTTAATAACCATATGCTGACAGGTGACACTGAAAGCTCCCCACAACACCCAACAGCTGAAAAAACACTAGCAAGAAATTGTCCTAAGGGAAACCTAAGATCCCAAATGAAACGTAACCAGAGAGTCCACACACACACACACACACACACACAAATGTAAGGGTTGTAGAAGAATGAAGTTGCACAATATGTAAACTGGAATTAAACCACAAAGATGTGAAAGCCATATAAGAAGATGTTTCTTGTTGGCCAAGCTGCTCTTACACCCCACCTAGGTTCTTACAGCAGAGCAGCGCAGGGGGCCAAACAGATGAATCACAACAATAAAAACTCTTTTAGAATCAGCTTATTTACTGAAAAGGAACTGCAAGTTAAGAGGTTGCATATCTAAACCAGATATAGCAGATGCTCCTAAGTAAGCAACTCAGTGACGCTCTTTGGCCTGACTCACTTGGCAGTTGCAGCTCATTCAGAAAGTCGCAGCCAGGCTTTTATTAACTGTGAAAGACTGGCCGAGAGCCTGAGGGAGTATTTTTCTACAGTCTACAAGCACTTTCTGTGGAATGGGAATAACAAATGCATACTATGCATTACCAGAAATTTAGGAGGTTTGGCATCACCAAATATTGAATGATATTGAAGATCATTTGAAATGACAAAATTCAGGGTTCAAGGTTCACCTTTATTGTCATTATACAAAACAGGGTTGCATAAAGAAAAACACAATTTCAGAGTCTGAGACAGTGGGCCACCCCACGGACAAAGCTTGGAAAAGGCCCCCCTCAACCCCCTTATATTAGAGAAAAAAACCTAAATGATAGGCCTATTTTTTCTGCTTGAAATTTGATGAGGTTTCCTATGGTGACCCCAACATTAGAAAAAGTGAAACAGTGCCTTTGTTCATATTTCCATGAACGCTGTAGACAACACCATCAGGTTACAAAGATTGTCTTTGTGTTGTTTTTTTGACCTGGCATTTATAAAATCCTTCACACACCGCAAGTGGTTTAGATGGGCCACCCCTCAGATCCGAGAGCTATGGGAGTTAGGTGGAAACACTCCACTCACTTTAGATTTCAGACGCACCCACTCACAACCTCATACACACCACCCTAACTCACTTGTGGTTTATGCAGACAGTTCCCCTTTTCTAACTTACAAAGAACATGTTTGGAACATGTTTGCTTAATAAAACCTTAAAGCATCAGCCTCACAACACAACTGTGGGTTTACAGCTTGTTTTGTGACTGCCTCTTCACATATTCTACCGTCTATGTATGCACTGAACTTGTAATTAAAATTGTAAATGTTATTTGCATAAAGCTTTAACACCACAATTGTGTAAGGCGGTGACACTAACAGCCAGGCAACATCCTGTAACACAAGAGCCATAACGTTTTTTTAACCCACATTATCATTCCTGCTAAAATCTGATTCTTATGCAACTTACAGAAACCCACGTTAGAAACACAGAATAGAATCTGGACACAGATTGATTTATAAAACAAATGAAACTATCAGCATCAGAAGTCCATAATATCTGCACTTTGTGTTAACATGGAAATTTCTACCAGCTTGCAGTGACATTACCTACTACCTGGTGATATTCAAGAGGGATTATCAGTATTATTAGACTCCAATTCGACTGCGTGTACAGTGGTGTTTGAAAGTTTGTGAACCCTTTACAATTTTCTATATTTCTGTACAAATATTACCTAAAACATACTCAGATTTTTACACAAGTCACAGAAAGTTCAAGAGAACCCAATTCAACAAATGAGACAAAATAGTATCTATATAATATAAATGTTAAATATAATTACATAATGATGCTACAGAATGAACACTGTAAACATTGAATGCTGGGGCACATCAGGCTGTGGCCAGGTCAGCTATGCCATTATGGTTATGCTGCAGGCTATGAGACAGCTTAGTCACAAGCAAGCACACCCAGCTGTTTGCATAACTGTTATAGTTATATTATTATTTTCAAATAACAAAGAAGCAAATGTGGTCTCATCCATGATGAGGAAAAATATCAAAGACAAATTGATAATTGTCCAACATTAAACTAAAGCTGACAGAGAGTCGCTTTAATCCAATCACTTTCTTCTAAGAGAGTGAGGTAGGTCCTCAAAGATCTATGGCAGCAGTATTATTTCCGTTCATGATGTTTATCAGGATGTAAACGAGAAAGAAAAAATAGGTTCAAATGAAACGTGTATGTTCAATATACTGTACTCCCCGGTGCTTTTGAGCCATTTCTTTTAAGCGTATTTAAGCGTACATATTTAAAGTAAATTCTAGGGGACAGGGTTGCAGCTTCCCGAGAAAAAGATACAAATGAACCTCATAAAATGAGTACAAAGTCAATTTAAAATGTATTTCAGAAGTAATAAACATTTTCATTTAAAGAGGAGCAGAACTGCGTCAAATATTAAGTTGATTTTTTAAAATCCAATTCATTAATTGCTTTAGTTTTTCCTGAGAGGGGGAACCTTGATTGCAGTTATGGGGGATATTTCTAAAAACAAGAAACAAAACAAAACCACATGTTGATCACTATAGCCTGAAAGAAAACCTCTGTAACAATTTCTACACTTTAAAAGGCAGCAGCATTTTTGCACTACTAGGAGTTGCTACTGCTACTTAGGCTATAGGCTCCTGTAGGTAGGCTACATAGGGAGAAGGGGACAATTGGCCATTTTACAGGATAGTATTATTTTTTCTACTTGAAAAAACTTTTTTGTTTTTTAAACTGAGTACCTTTGAATGAAGTCTTTCAGCCTTCGTCATTTCTGATTAAAATGAACAAGAAACCAATTTTGTTTCAGCAGTCATCATGGTAACTGTTGAATCCTAAAATCTAAGGGGTACCTTAAAGATAAAGATTTCTAATGGCAGCTCTGACTGGCCGTCACGAAAACCTGGACCTAGTCCTCTTTCACCACCACTGAAATGAAATTAGCCTTTCCACCTCCTAGTACTAGGAAATAAAAAGTTACATTAATGTCCCCCCACAGATTTGGTAGCATATTACAACTGTTTCTTACATAATGACTTTATAATTGCTGCAGAATATCATTGTTGTTAGCCTTTTTCCCAATCCTCAGTTTTCTGTAAACTGCAGGTATTAGGCCTACACTTGTTTTGGGTCTATTTATTGGCTCCTGATTGATACAACAAAATGGCACATTAACTAAATTTCTCTAAATTGATTCGTTATTTTAAATAGGTTACAACCATGCAGTTACTAATGTTGCAGGTTTTTAGCGTCATTGGTTGGATCTTATTTTCTTATTTTAGTTGCTCTAATAGGACAAGAAGTGAAACTACCTCGGCTCCTGCTCTCCACTCCACAGCACACTCAAGAAAACATGAACAAAAGATGATCACATTTTAAAAGTAGGAGTTAACAACTTTATTGGTAAGGCTAAAATTACATTGTGCAATAAGATAATTCATTCATTAGGTATTCACAACCACCGTTTCATGAAATTGAAAACACCCTCAATAACCATTTGCGTCCAGCCTTGAAAGGTCTCCGTTAACGTGTCAACCAGCAGCGTGCCTCCCTTTTAAAAGTCCCATCTTCACAGGTCCATTTGATTTGCGGGATTTCAGCCACCAACAGATCCCAGCACACGAAAGTACGCAGGCAGTCAAACACACCACTGGTACTGTTATACAGACAGTCCAATTTTTTTCAGGGTTTTTCGGCGGTGTCGTCTACAGAGGGGACAAGACAAAAAGAAAACCGGAGGAACACTGTTACACTGACATTTCATTTGTTATAGCCCTATAATCAATAATGCATGTAAGCTTTTTTAGAAGTGAGGCGTACCACAGATCCAGGCGGCGGTTTGGAGGTGGTCTGGTCCGGCTTCCTCTTGTTGAACCTCATCCTCACAGCAGCAGGCTTTCCTCGGGTTTTCTTCCAGTCTTTATCCAGGATGTAGATAAAGTAATCACCTTCGTCCTCCTGTTTAACCCCTTTCAAAGTCACCGACAGGTCTCCCTGCGACTTCCACTCAGGTGACACAGACACTCTTCCCTCAGAACCTTTCCCACTTAGGCCCATGTTCTTCTCGGAGGAGAGGTCCAGCTCAAACACAAGCTCTCCGTTTCTTTCCAACCTATACTTCCCATCTTCTCCTGCGGTCACGTAGTGAAAAGGAAATTTCACATTGTCTCCCAAGATCGGAGATACTTCGAAGGCTTTAACAACATAAAGATGGATCCGTGTCTCATCCTCGCTGTCGCAAGTTAACTCATACAACCCTTCGTCGTTCATGTTTGAACTGTTGAAGGTGACAGACTCGTTTGGGCTCATCTTGTCTTCATAACCTTGTGCCGGCTTCCAGGCAGCAGCATCTCGATGAGCCACCAGCCGAGCGCTGTCGTCTTTTAGCCGGTGCACCAGCCGGGCTCCTATTTGCTTGCAGTTTTCAGTTGCTGAAAACTCGACGGGATCTCCGAGAATTGAAACGATGCTTTCTCCAGAGACTGTCCTGACAGTACATACGAACAATAGGACTACTAATCGAAGCCCCTCCATTTAAAGTCTTCTGCGCGTCGTCTGTGCAGTTTCCAGTAGCGCATTTGCACTGTACTGAGCGTGTGGTAACAGAGTGTGCGAGTCACCACTCAGAGGCTACCCAGGCTCCACCCTTGAGGGAGAATTTCGAGAAACCACAGACTCATGCACAAAATGCCCTGCACGCACTATACAGGCAGAGACACACATATAGCCTACATTTCTCTGTTTTTGTTTTGTTGTTATCTTGCCTGTTTTTTCTCGGCTCTGCTTTATTTATTTAAATACATTAGCCTAATACTTATTCTAGAAATAGGTTAAAAATGGGGGGAAATAGCATTTCCTCTCCTTTATGTATATTCATTTAGCATTCTATTTTACTCTTTTAAACCTTGGACCCATTGTCCACCACCTCTCCTCTACCAACACAGTCTCACTCCCTACTCGTCAAATGTCTGACGCATGGTCAGGGCCCTTTGTCGTCGCTTTTTAAAGACTTGGGTAGCCCTTTTGCATTAATTATTGACGTTTAGGGACCCACAGTCAAGTTAGCAACGCTTAGCAACAATAAATATGCAATAATTTGGATCTCTTTTAAACTGGATCTGGTTTTATGGCTAGAAAAGGACATAAGCCCATGAAAAAACTCAAATTGAACCAGCCTTAACATTATCCAGTAGTAGTCCATGTCCTTTTCAGTCATGCTTCATAGCTTCTATATGGTGAAGTGTGTTCTCCCGAAAGAGAAACTTTACTTGTTTCTCTTTCGGGAGAACACACTTCACCTTTACAACCAGCCTCCACATGTGAGCATTAAAATGTTGACCCTATTTGATCCCTTAGCAATCCACCCTGAAAACTACTACTACTGAAAACTATTCATAGTGTTGCAAAGAAGATGTTGCATATTTTTACTTATTGTTTTGTAATCGCTAATATGTTGCTATTGCTGTAAATAATTAGCCTATATTTATTTAGGCTATATAAAATGATTAGGCTATATATTGCTTATATTGTTGATTTTATTTAAATATTACACAGTCACAGCTGTCATATTTAGGCATAGGCATGTCAAAGTTTGTTTTGCAAGTGTCCCCCTATGAATGTCAGACTGAACGCATCTGGAAACAGTGTAGTTAGAACTATGTTGGTTCAAACCACTGTGGTACCAACAAAGTAGCCTGCGACAGTTTTGGGAAACAGTCATTTGCTACTTCAGATGTTAATTAGTTTAAGGATGCATGGTACCATGATAATTCAATGTTAGTTTCCGTGGTTGCACTGGAAACGCACCCCTTTCCAAGAAATTAGCTAATTAGCCTACTTTTGACAAATGGCGATAGTAGGCTACAGAGAGAAAAAAGGTCTGAAGGATGAGCTAAATTTGTGCACAGAAGTTGACACGATAATTTAATGCATTTCCTAATAATGTTGGTGTTACTTACACTAGGCGTAGGCAACTTCTCTTTCAGATTTTAGTGGGGAATATTGTCCTTTTTACTAAACTAGGCCTACATTTATTGAAAACGTACGATCAATTTATAAAATATGACGCATGCACACATATCACAGTACCAGACAGTAGCCTAGCCTCGCCTAGGCCTATAAAAAATAATTCAAATTAGCTTCATCTCGTTAGGTTATTATTATATTGCAACAATACCACACATTTAGGCTAATGCGCGACTCTTCCTTTAAATTAATGTTGTGTCCGTTCTCATGTCAGGGCGTCATATACCGACGATGTGAGAAACAGTGACAAAGCGTAGTTATTTGAGAGCCTCCCGTGTGTTGCTGCAACGTAGCAAACGGGGGCGTTTCATATGGACGCTGAAGGGTACCTTTAGGTAAAATCCTTATGCTTTGTCACGCTCTCTGAAAGCGTCAGTTACGAGGCATTGAGATGAGAATGAGAATTTTTGTGTAAAAAATATATAGGCCTATAGAATCAGTGCGAAGTAAATTTAAAAATGCATTTCAGATGTAATAATCCTTTTCCAATTAAGAGTTGAAGCAGAGTTGGGTTAATTAGCAGGTGATGAAATTTATAAATATTTAAAAAATATATTTTGAATTACACTGTAAAAGGTGTTACCAACATTTATTTAATTTGTTTAAAGTTGTTGTTTAAATTATGTTTTAGGCTACTATTTCCTTGCAGTTACTTGTGTTGAAGATTTTTAATTCCAGCAGTTTATGTTTATCGTTATAATTTTTGAGAATTTACTTCATTAGTTGTTCTGCAAACAGGACAGGGGGTGAGACATCGCCTCCCCCAACACAACATATGAAATCATGAACAAACATTTTAAAAGTCAGAATCATCTTTATTGGCAAAGAGGATTAAAGGGCATACGACAAAACAAGAACAATGCTAAACAAAGCAAACATAGGTAGGCCAATATTTAGAAACAACAGTGTAATACTGCAAAGAACGTTACTGAAGGCAAGTTTATTTATAGGCTATAGCACATTTCATACCAGGTGCAGACTTAAGGTGGCTCATCTATTGCATGTGCATAGAACGCGTGTATTGTGGAGAAAGCTGTTTTTCCCATAAAACAAATAAAGCTAAAGAATTTCAGACTGAAGAAAGTGAAACAGGGTCCGAGGTGGAAACCAGAAAAGGGCATATTATTTTACACATTATAGGCCATAAGTCAATTAAATCAGTGAAAACCAAAACAGTTGATAACAAAACATTATGGACATTCTCATATAGGCCTATTCAAATGGCCACTCTGTTTTTATAGTTAGGGGAAATATTTTAATGATGACAATAATTGATGAGGATGAGTGGTTATTTATTTGGCCAAATCATTCGTGCATTAACGGTTTTAAATATTATTCTCTTTTGATGTTTCATCAGTCGCATCAATTTAACTCAACAAGCATTTCGTTCTGCCCTGGGTCTTCATCAGCAGGGTTAATAGGCCTATTTAAATGTGGCCTTGAAGGCGCCCCGTTAACTTCAGAACCCACATGGACCCTCTCATTTAAAAGTCTCAACTTTTACATCTGCCGCAGATTTTGATCTGTAGGATTTCAGCCACGAACCAAACACAGCTGCTAAAGGTGCAACAATCAGACACACCACAGCTGCTGTTATAGCGACAACGGTCCAAGTTCCCATCTCAAGGGGCCGCGGTGTCGGCTACAGAGGGGACAAGACAAAAAGAAACAGAGGAATTCAGACCCAGTGGGACACTGACACAGACATTTTGATTACAAATGATACAGGCCTAAAGCATGGCAGCTTTTTTTATATAGAAAGGAGGCGTAGGATACTTACAGGCGGTGGTTTGGAGGTGGTCTGACCCGGGTTCTTCTTATTGACCCTCATCCTCACAGCAACAGGCTTTCTCTTCCCATCTTTATCTTGGGCGTGGCAGAGGAAATCACCTTGGTCGTCAAACTTAACCCGATCGAAAGTCAGCGAAGTGTTCCCCTTCATGTAATCTGGTGACACAGAAACTCTTCTCTCAAATTCAGTCCCATATCGGACCTCTCCGGAAGAGGTGTCCAGCTCAGCCACAAGCTCTCTGTTTCTTTCCCATCTTACACGCTTTGCAGGTTCCCCTGCAGTAAATGAATGGCAGGGAAGCGTGACTGTGTCTCCCTCTGGTGCAGAGACATCGTCAAAGGGCATAACCTCCAGCTCGATTAAAGTATCGCGGCTGCCGCAGGTCAACTCATACAATCCGTTATCGTTGTAGTTTACGCAGGTTAAGACAATACTAGACGCGGAATGTTGTTTAACTCGGCCTTTGTAGTCTTCTTGTGGCATCCAAACACCGTCGACAAGTGTCGCCACAGTCCGGATGCTGTCATCTTTCAGCCGATGAATAACTTGGAATCGCTCGCCGTCGCTGCATTTTTCATTCGCCGACAAATGAACCGAGTCTCCCAATTTTGAACAGATAAGTTCTCCCAAAACGCGATTGGCTGTAAAAATTAGAATAACTGCAAAGAGCATACTTGCCGGTGCCATTATTCTACCGGGATTGCTCTAGGCAGCTCTGTGTCTGTGTCTGCAGAGATGATAGAGCAGTGAGTGAGTTAATCCCACTCCACACATTCACACATGGCCAGTGCAGACCTCACGTGGGCTGCGGTGGTCAAATGGTGTCATCTGCTGGTCTCTCTCAACTTCTTAAAGACACAGACACCAACTCATGTATTTTGTCACACTTCTGAAGCACAAATCTACTGAGAGGTTACTCAGCTGCTAGGCCCCTTTATTCTGGCTCCGCGATGAATATGTTTTAGGATTTATTTTGATATCTTATTTATTACATTTAAGTCTCCTAACATTACATGTTAGAAGAGATCAAACTTTCTTCAAAAACATCTGTCCCCCAACTTTATGGAAGTGAATCCAAGCATTAAATTGACTGTACTCACCAACAATGAAGGCTGTGTATCCTCCTCTGACTTGACTCTTGTGTCACTTTTTTACAGCCCAAGTAATCCAAACATGAAAGAAAGAGAGCAAGACACGTCCATGCACTTTTCGTCTCTGTCACTGCCACCTCCAGTGGGTAACTGAAAGCACAGCAGCTCTCCAGGATAAACAAAATATTCCTGAGTGTTTGCCAAGTGAAAAGTCTCGTATCAGCCTGGAAGAGAGATGCCCTGTCTCTGAGGTATTTGTGCTGAAGATTGGGATCTTCCCTTCCTATTTCTGTAAACGTGAACCCAGTTCGTATTGAGTCTCCACTCCACTGTTAAAGTCCTCACATGGAGTGAAGGTCTCCTGAGGCACAGCAGGATGACGCCCTGGCCCAGTGGTACTTGAACTGGCTGATGTGAGCCCATGGCTTCAGGCAATTCTGGGAAAACAAAATGTACATGTTGGTTAGAAGCAGAAAGGATGGACACCATAAGTACTCAGTGACGCTTACACATTAATGCATCACAATTTATACTTCAGTGATACAATTTAGTCTATATGATTCTGACCAGGGCCATCTGCATATTGAGTAGCGTACTATTACTATAGGCTATATTTGAATGCTAATAATTATATAAGTTATACACTTTTACTCAGTTGGGGTACCAAGAGGAAGTATCCAGAGCCTCAAAATACTGTTACACGTAAAAAACCTGCACTGAAAATGTTACTTAAGTAAAATCAGGAGAATTGCAATGTCTGATTATTTTCATTATGGATTACTCAGTTGGTTATTTCGATTGATTGTTTGGTTTGTAAAAAAAAAAAAGTAATGTCAACTAATCGTTTCAGCTGTACTTGTGTAAACTGTTGTGTAGTTACAACTCTTCATATTTTATGTATGTAATCTTAAATTGTAAAGTAAAGCTGCCAGATAAATGTAGGGAAGTAAAAAGTACAACATTCCCTCTGAATTGTAGCAGTGGAAGTAGAAAGTGGCATGAAAAGAAAATACTTAAGTAGACCTTATATGTAGCCTACCTCATATGAAGTACTTAGTTACTGTCCAGAACTGCGTAGGCCTATATATAAAACTTTTATATAAAACTAAACACGAATCGTGTGAAAACAAAAGCTATGCAGGACCTCTTTCTTCTGACAGGCGGAAGAAATCCGTTTCCAGTGAAAAATGTAAACACAGACGTCCTAGTTTCTTGTTCCTCTTTATCACTGTAGCGCTTTGTAACATTGTTTTGAAAAGTACCTTCACTCAAAATAATAGACCACGTAATTCTAAGTTTGCCTCCTCCCCCTTCAACAAAATATGGAAACATATAACATCAGTAAATCAGCTGTGTTGGAAATCAACAAATTGAAAATGAAGCGTACATTTGCAAGATGAAAGCCATTCCTAAAACAAATAAACCAACTGCTTGACTAGGGTAATATTTCCTGGGGTGCACAAAAACTTCTTTTGGAAAATAAATAGACACACGGATATCTCAGGGAGTTGTCTAACAGAAGTCAGAATCTGTTGAAATGAAAATGAATTTACCCGTTAAGTCCAGAACAGAATAATAATTTCAGCTTCCCAGACGTCGTGAGGCGAACAGGATTAAAACGACCCAGACAGAAAACAAACTTTCAGTTTTGTATTGAAGCCTTTCTCTGCAAATCATGTGTCCTACTCCTCCCACATAGAGCAGCTTTCTCTTCCTGTTTCCTCAGTCGTCCCAGTAGGCTATTTTAGGTTGTTTGTTTTGGGTCAACCAGAACAAAGTGTATAGCGTAGGCATGATGGATGCAAATGCAGTTACAGCTTCGAAGATCTTAACAAACATCTGCTTGGACGTATAGACTAGTATATGAAGTGAAACATGCGATTCTTTCATGATACTTTTTTATTTTTTTTATTATGTTAATTCATCAAAACATTTGACTCAGCATTACACCGCAGTCAGTTTGCAGGTGCTTTTGTATGTGCAGATGTGCGCAGGTGTGCTTGGTTACCAGCATTCAATGAGATCATCATCATTTTATGTTTATGTGTCGCTGCGCTGTCATTTAGTCTGACATTCAGTAAATGGAAATAATCAGTGAATGATTACTGAGATTCTCACGCTGACAAACAATTTTCAGGTGATGCAAACTTGTTAATGAACCAATATCCACTGAGAAAAGGTAAAAGGCCTAAGTTCAAACGGTTAGTATTTTCCGTAAGTACTATTATTCACAGTATACTATGACAACGTTAAGGATAGCCTAACTACCTTCCTATGGTGCACTGGCCGGGGGGGGGCAGTTAGTGTATTAGTTATTATTTTTCCAATATTATTTTCCTTCGGTTAAAAAATGAAAGTTCTGAGAACTGCAATATTCCTCAGGACAGTCCTTTATAAATTTGCTGTAGTCTGAAGTTATGTCAGACAGCAATATTAGGGTGTATGTTAGAAAAACTAAGGGGGGAGAGGGGCACTTTTTTCCCAAGCTTTGTCTGGGGGGGGGGAGACTCTTTGAAACCCCTGCTCTAAAACATTTGTTTATTTTATGTGCTAGAAAGGGCTACAAGTGTCTTTCTTTATGTAACCCTGTACTGTATAATGACAATAAAGGTGAACCCTTGAACCCATCATTTCAGATGATGTTCACATTGATTCTACATTTGGTGATACCAAATCTCCTAAAGTCATGGTAGGGGATTAGGCTATAGTTGTGTAGTGGATCATGTTTATTTAGGGATTCTTCCACAGTAAGTGCTAGTAAAAGCTCCTCAAGGAGTAGGCTAAGCTAAAAATTACTCCCTTGGGCTCTAAAAGGCTGTCTGCGACTGCCAAGTGAGTCAAGCATGAGAGAGAGTAGTCTAATTCAGAGGTTGTACTGTAAGACCATGTGCAAGTATACACATCTGGTTTGAAGCCAGTGCAAAAAGGCAGATTCTGAACAGTTATATTCAGAGGATGTGGTGTGTAAATGGGGCTGTTTGTATCATCAGGTGGATTGTTGGGTTGATAGGAGAGAGAAAATCTAAAAAGTCTCTTTCTGTCTGTCTTTGTTTCTCTGGGGTTAGGCTACATAGACCTAATGAATACAGTGAGGACTAAGCCAGTTTCACATGTAAAGTCCCTCACGTTTACTTTAATAGCCTAGGTAAAGCTTAAGTATGCTGCTGAGACTTGTGTATTTGACTTAATAAGGATTTCTCATGATTTTTAGGCCTACTTGAGTATTTTCCATTGGTGTAAAGGTACGTTCTGCTTAAATAAAGGATCTGAAACCTGGGAAGCACTTTGGTCAGCTAGGGTTGATTTTAAATGTGATATACAAATAAACTTGAACTTGACTACTTTCATGTCACTGTTGGTGGGAACAAAAACAACATATCTCAGCGTGCGTATGTTGAAACTCTACTCCCTTGATACACCCACTGCACAGAGGGGAACAGTTGGCAGGCGTATGACTCATGCACAGGGGTTATATGGTAACTCGCAGTTAGTCCAGGTCAGGCTGTGTGAACTTATCCGTGCAGGAATTTTTCAGTTTAATTAACTTTTTTAACATGATATTTACTGACATGCACTTTTTTACTTTAACCAAATTTTGATTCCTCTGCTGATTATTCACCAGCTGTAGACTTACCCCAAATACATTTCAGAGGGAAATATTTTACTTACTCCACTTCTTTTACACAGTAGTTAAGTACTATTCAGATTTCACTTACAAAATAAGACTTTCTAAAATATAATGCATTGTTTAAATGAGATTCAACCTTATTATCATTATGAATAGCCTACAAGAAGAAATCCCATCCATTGTGTTTTCATTGCTTTTGTATTTCCCAAGGGGAAAGTTTGCACATTTTGTCCATTATTGTTTTAATGACACAATATATTTGTCTTTATTTGATTTAATGGTTCTATATTTCCTTATATTTATTTATGTTGTCCTGGTCAGCCACCAGCCGACCGCTGCCTGCTGGTGCTCCCGTTTACTTCCAGTCTTTTTGCTGAAAGCTCAACGGAGTCTCCGAGGTTTGTAACTAAATTTTCTACAAATACTGGGATGATACTCAGAAACCCTAATCGAAACCATTGTAAGCAAACACATTTTCGACAATTCTGCCTCTGAATAGAAGCCTAATCGTTGCCTCCCTGGGTTAGGGTTGGTTAGCCAATCAGATTAGGTGGCAGGACTCTCCGCAACGCATGTTCCCGTCAAATGAGAGTTGTAGAAACATGAGAAAACATGCGATAAACACACTGTCATAGCACTGTCATAGCACTGTCATAGCAGGAACATGACTCAGCTAGAGTTAACTCTGGTTTGGAAGAAGCATGTCATGTCTGCTGTATTGAGCAATATTTAAAGTAGCCTAAAGAAAGTCAAGACGTTCATTTTAAACGTTTCCTAATAATAGGCTAGTGGTTTGTCACAGATGACAGTGCAAAATAATTAAAAGTAGCCTAGCTTTACCTCGACCAACTGTCACGTTTAATGCTGCTTAGGCTACGTGTTAATGTAGGCCCCAAGGGCTATCAGTAGCCTAATTATATTGCAATAGCCTACACATAATGGGCTAATGCACGACTCTACAATTTCCATGTCAAAGTATTTTCATAGATTGGTGCTGCTACTTTTTATGTAAAAGGTGTTATATTTTTTCTCCCTTCCTTCCTCCAGATTTAAGATTACATAACCATCGTGCTTCCTGCGTGCCAGTTTTCCTGTGACTCGATCTGCTGGCTGCCTGGGCGTCGACGTGACAGGCTGCTCTTTTCAGTACTAACATTGTTTATTTTAAAAAAACAAATCACATATAAAATGAGCGTCCATTTAAAAATGTATTTCAGAGGTAATGAACATTTTCATTTAAAGAGGTGAAAAATTGTGTTTAGGGTGTCATTAGGGTGAATTCAGATATATTGGGACATCAGGTAATTTGGGAGAGCATAAGACAATTTAACTTCCCTGGAAAGAAAAGAAAAAATTAAATTAGGACATTTTCTTGCTGTTTAAAAACAACGTTACAGTCGTTAGGACTACCGGTGGCCAGGACTGAACATTAACAAAAACACTTAGATTACAACGAAATAACAGTGTAGCACAACTTTGTTTTAAATTAAGTTTTACAACCTTGCAGCTTTTTATTCCATTACCCGTTTAATTAATTTTTTGAGAGAAAAAATAGGCTAATTCATTTTGTTGTTAGATGTTCTGTAAACAGGTGACTCGGCTCCTTCACTCCACCTCACAGAAGACACAAGAAATCGTGAACAAAAGATGATCACATTTCAAAATCCAGAATGTGCTTTTTTGGTAAAGAAGATACTCACACAGACTTCAGAAAAAAATGGCAACACAGCTAAACAAAGTAAACAAGTAGGAAAAAATACAGGAGGCACAACCAATAGGCTATTCATCAGTTGTAACACTTTAAAATGCAAATTAACTGTTTGCGTTCAGCAAAGCAACAGGGCGAGGGTCCATCTCCACATCTTTTGCGGGTCTATTTGATCTGCAGTAGTTTAGCAACCAACGAAACCCAGCATCTAAAAGTATGCCTACAATCAAACACACCACTGCGAGAATGGCAATGGCCCAGTCTCCCATCTTGTTTTGTGTCAGCTACAGAGGGGACAAGACAAAAAGAAAACAGAGAAATAGTTAGACACCGCGACAGTGATAATAAGCCTAAAGCATGGGAGCTTCAGAAAGGAGGCGTGTACTCACAGATAAAGGCGGTGGTTTGGAGGTGGTCTGATCCAGGTTACACTTCTTAACCCTCATTCTCACAGCAAAAGGCTTTCTCTTTCCATCTTTATCTTGGGCGTGGCAGACGAAATCTCCTTGGTCATCAGACTCAACCCGCTCAAAAGTCAGCGAGGTGTCCCCCTTTAAATGCCAATCAGGTGACACAGACACTCTTCTCTCAAATTTAGCCGCATATCTGATCTCCTCAGAGGAGGGGTCCAGCTCAATCACAAGCTCTCCGTCTTTTTCCCATCTTATAACCTTCGCAGATCCACCTGCAGTAAATGAATGGCAGGGAAGCGTGACTGTGTCTCCCTCTGTCACAGAAACGTCACAGGTTGTAATGACCTCCAGCTCGATGACAGTAACAACGCGGCTGCCGCAGGTGAACTCATAGATTCCGTTGTCGTTGTAGTTTACAGGAGTTAAGATGACGCTAAACTCTGAGTGGTGTTTTATCCTGCCGTTGTAACCACTTTCTGGCGTCCAAACCCCTCCAACAAGACTCGCCACAGTTAGAGTCATGTCATGTGTCATCAGTCTGAATTCCTCGCCATCTGTGCATTTCTCAATAGCGGTCAAATTAGCGGACTTTTCCGGATTTGCAGAGACTAATTTTCCTTTAACGCAAGTGCCAAAAAGAAAGAAAACGATTGCTAATACCGATAGCATCCAGGCTAATGCCATTGTTTGCCCTGAGCGAGGAAAGCACAACATCTTCTGCTGAGGTTGACAGTGTGTATAGGCTATTTTTTGGCCCCAGCCTCCTGCACCAGCCAATCACTGCACCCGGATGGAGCAGCGTTTCCCTAAATGGAATGCAGGTACTGACGTATTGACGGAAAGCCCAACCTCTTAGCTCGAGTGTCTAAATGTGTAAACGAAATGAAGCAGTTTGTATGTCAGTATTGCGCATGCACACAACGGAAAACAGGTTTATTACGTTCCTTTGCTTTCATAACTTATAAAAATGTAAAACCCATGGTTTATTAAATCATCGTGCTGTAGGCCTAATGGTAACGATAGAGGATGAATAGCACTATAGCAGGTAAGAGGGATAAATATGACTTTTTGATTTTAAGGTGAAATGATCCCTTCAAGGCAACAAGTGAACAACAATTGACTGCTGCCCCATTTTTATATCATTTGTAGCCTATACTTATGTACAGGCATATTTAAATACACATTTTCACAGAATTTCTTAAACGAACATGTGAGTCTTTTTAAGTTTTTTAAACATTTGTGTTATTAATATTACTGAAATTTACCTGTGTACCTGTTATTTTCTACATCGTTGTTTATGCTGTGTTCAGTAAACACATATTCTTGTCCAAACCAAATAATAACAAATTAACAATGTTCCTGTTAAGTCTCTTAGACCCAAATTTAAATAAACTCGTTCCTGCACATCACTGGTCAAATGTGGATATCTGCTGGTCCTTTTTCAGTACGTACAGCCTGTTTCCAGAAACTAAATTACTTTGAATGATATAATATATCCAGGAACCAACTCATGCCTCTTCTCACATCTTGATAAATGCAACATTTTATTTTTTCTGAAATACTTGCTGGTGTTAACAAGCTTAAGTGCTGAGAATTCATGAAATTTACTCCTACTGACTTTCTCCAGGACCGATGATGCAATAATTATGAGAAGAAAAACAGGAAATAGGTTTTCTATTTCCTGTGTGTAGGTATGATGCAAATTAGCGACAACAAGCATAAATGAGAAACCAGGACTTACTACCCCCTCCCTCCCTGAACCCCAGCTACAGCCCCAGACTGTATAGATATTTTCCCTGAAGCAGCGACTTCATACAGAATTGAGGTTTTTTTTTTTTAGGTTTTTTTATAGGCCTTCTTGACATGACGGTTCAAATCATTTGATTTGACAAATCCCTTTGAATGAATTACTGTTTTTTCCAGCAATAGATTTTCTATTTCCTGTGTCAAATTGTGTTTTCTTACTTGTCCTTTGCTTGAGCCTATTTCCATTTTATACTTCACACTTACATACAGCGCCGACATTTCACAGAGAAATCTTGTATTCTTACTCCACTCTATTCATTTAGCAGTAATTCATTGTTGGTTTCCTATTTGCACATAACATGACATAACACTAGCATGAAGCAATTCATTAACTAGCAGGAAAGTGCAATAATTAACAGTCGGCAATAAGGTATGGTGGGTGGTGATGCAGTTAAGGGACAGGCCAACCATCTGACCAGTCACAGGAACGCACATGTATTCTGTTGAATTCCAAGTGTTGTAATCCTAATTAACCATTACCAACAATTATCATCTATCTATATTATCTAGTTAAGAAAAACAAATGGGAGCAACAAATAGTAATGCATGAATTCATGATAATTTATGTAGGCTACCTTAAAGTGTTACCCATGACCCCCTCCCTCCCTGAACCCCAGCTACAGCCCCAGACTGTACAGATATGTTCCCTGAAGCAGCGACTTCATACAGAAGTGAGGTTTTTTTTTTAGGTTTTTGTATAGGCCTTCTTGACATGAGGGTTCAAATCATTTGATTTGACAAATCCCTTTGAATGAATTACTGTTTTTTCCAGCAATGTCTTTATTATTATTTTCAAATAACTTCTAACAACAAAGAAGCAAATGTGTTCTCATCCAGGATGAGGAAAAACATCAAAGGCAAATTGATTATTGACATTAAACTAAAGCCTTCCCTTACATGACAGAGAGTCGCTTTAATCCAATCACTTTGTTCCAAGAGAGTGAGGTAGGTCCTCAAAGATCTATGGCAGCAGTATTATTTCCGTGCATGATGTTTATCAGGATGTAAATGAGAATGAAAAACTAAAGTTCAAATGAAACGTATGTCCATTATACTCCCTGGAGCTTTTATTCCATTTGTTTTAAACGTAGATGGCATCATGGCTCTCACTAGTGGCCTATTTAACATAAATTCTAGGAGACAGGGTTGCAGCTTCCGAGAGAAAGATGCAAATGAGGCCAGTCCTCCTTGGCTATTATCTTCATTTTTTTTTTTTTTCAGAGTAAAGGTAGAAAGAGTACTAAAATATTGTACTTGAGTGAAAGTACTGTTAAATTGATGAATTTTTACTTAAGTACAAGTTAAGTTACTATTAATCTACTCAAGTAAAAGTTAAAAGTAGTAGTAGAGTAGTAGTAGACTAGACTGGACTGCACTGTACACATTGAGGAGGACAGGAGCCTGCAAATTGGTGTTTACAGAAAACCCACACACACAGACCAATACCTACTCTTCGATTCCCACCACCCACTGGAGCACAAGCTAGGGGTCATGAGAACACTGCACCACAGAGCGGAAAACATACCAACCAGCGTGGATTTTCAACAAACACAACATCCCTGTGTTTTTAAACCCAAGAACACACTAAGACAGATGCTGGTACACCCCAAAGACCGCACACCCAAACACAAGAAAAGCAATCTAGTGTATGAGGTCCAATGCAGTGAGGAATGCACAGACCTGTATATTGGGGAGACTAAACAACCACTACACAAACGCATGGCTCAACACAGAAGGGCCAACTCCTCAGGTCAAGACTCTGCAGTCTACTTACATCTGAAGGACAGAGGACACTCTTCTCTGTCTAAAATGTGCACCTGGTGGTCATTTTAGACAGAGAAGATGGATGGTTTGAAAGAGGTGTCAAGGAAGCCATCTACACCAGGGTCGAGAAGCCGTCATTGAACAGGGGAGGGGGTCTACGCCACCACTTATCCCCCACTTACAATGCTGTCCTTTCATCACTTCCCAGGAAACTCAACAAACGTAACCTATTGGCCTCAGGTGAAGATACCAACGATGGTCGTTCAGTCTTGGCCTCAGGTGAAGATACCAACGATGGTCGTTCAGTCTTGGCCTCAGGTGAAGATACCAACGATGGTCGTTCAGTCTTGGCCTCAGGTAGTCTTAACGACTGTTGTTACAGCAACCAGGAACACTAACGAACCAGGAGTATCGACAATCCTGGCAAACGACCCCACTGAGGTTAAATAGCTGAGTTTCCCTGCCAGTCAGTCAGAACTGAAGAAGTCTTTTGGATGAGGGACGAAACGTCTTCCAGTAGCTTCAACCAAATCCAGTTGCCCTTGACTTTAACCTTCGTTGGATAGTAGAGTAAAAGTTACTTAGCTACTTTTTTAACTGCCAAAACAACCCGAATAACTTATAGGCCTACTGATTTAATATCTTATTTATAAGCCTTATTTAATTAAATCGCAGTCTTTTGCAATTTGAAGAGGGCACAAAGCCAGATATTAGTTTGTTTGACAGATCCTTTGCAATGGCACAAGTATCTTTATATTTTCCATAGAGATAAATGGGTCAGTAATAAATACTTTTAAATTAAAAAGAAAAAAAAAGTTATAAATGATTTTTTTTAACCTTCATTAGAATGATAATTAGAAATATACTGTATGTTTTCATTTAAAATCATTTGATGATAGTAGTCATGTCTTATGGGAAAACAGTCAACATAGTCAAATTATAATGTTTACTTATTTCCATATTCTTACATATTCAAAAAGTATTGGATCCCATTTACCTGAGAGACTGGCGCCAACCGAGAGACGCATCTGATGCTCTTCCTGCATCAAGTAGATGAAGATCTAGATTTGGATGTAGCCAACCAATTTATTTTATCATTATTTATGTTTTTATTACCGCATGTTGTTAAAACTGTTTGTATTTTCATATATATATGAACTGCTTTGTATTTATAATATTTTAGCAATAATTCCTTTATATTTTCATCATGTTGTATTATCTTAAGTTGTCTACGTTGTAATCCTTTTTCTTAATAAAACAATAACGTCAAATCCATTGACCCGGACACTATCAAAGTTAGCAAGAGCAAAGTTAACAAGTTGTAACGTTAACGTTACACATTTATTAACGTTACGTTATGTGACCTCACTGTACAGTAAAGTTACTGTAAGTCATGTTGCTTTATCGTTTGATTTAACGATAGCTCGTTATCGTCAGCGCGCCTTTCCTGATGTTATCAGTTAACGTTAACGTTATTAAGGTGGCTTATACAGGTAAGTTAGGTTAGGCTCTGAATACAGCGTTTCGAGAACATAATTTGAAGACTGAAGCGGAATATTTCTACCCAGTTTATATTCAGGTGTAATAATAAATATATTGGTTAGGGGTCGTAATATGAATACATCTTGCAGTCTTTCAGCTTTAAGCTTACTAACTTCATATTAGACAAAGTAACGTAAATGCCATGTTGCTTAACGTTATACAATAAACAATCGTAACCAACGTTAATCACATTCTCGTTTGTGTAACAGATTAGGATACGATCATGGTAACGTTATCTAACTCCGCAGTGAACCTGACCCTCTAACATTTTATTAACATTAACGCTGTATGAAATGCCAGATTATTCAAAATGACTGTGTGTGTTACACTGTCTCTTCTGTTTAATTGGGAACAAAACTGCTGAGCTATTTACTATACTTAATATAACCAGGCATTATAATATTTGCCAAAGAAGACTTAGTACAACTAACATTAGTTTTCTTATTTATGATATTTTCCACCAGACACCATAAGAAGGCATATTTATAATTGAATCAGGTTAATTCATGAGCTGTGTTTCAAACACAGACACAATATAGATTATGTGTTATAAGTGTTTTCCAAAGGGTTATAACAGTATTATAAGGCTGAGGTCTGGCTTTCATGTTCCTACAACTTCTGTTTTTTTTTCATGCATTTAAAAAATGTTCATGCATTTATGTCACCAAAGGCTATGTCTTCAAAATCCAAATCGCACAAGGCGATGGCAGACTCGGAGTGGATGTCACGCCTGAGAAAGTTTGCCAGCACTGGGTCTTGGCCTGCAGGTGAAGGGAACAGGCCAGCTCCCAGGCAGAAGAAGTGGTGTGAGCTGTATCAAAGGGTATGAGTATTTTAACAGCACAGTATATTGTATTTATTGTTATGTACTCTCACTCTCACATTTCACTCATAGTTTCAAATACAATAAAGTGTTAGGTTCCTATTAGTTAATAAACATCTAATGAGCAAATAACTTACGTCAGATCTCTGTAACTACACACTAATTCATATTCAATTCAATCAAATGTACAACTTGTGTGTGTAGATTCAGAAATGTCCGATGCAGACGCATGGACAGAAGCCGTTATTTGGTCAAGTGAGGAAGTGTGTGTGTGGATTCCACAATCAGAAGGTAAGCCTGGTCAATTAAAGACTCAAGTTGTGTGTGTCGGTGTGTATGCACATATCAGTAAACTAATTAATTAATGATGTGTCTCTTCTGCCATGTAACAACAGCCAGCCGGAGCAGGTTTTGTTCAGGGGCCTTCATCAGAGTGCACCAGTGGGTCCAGTCCAACATGCTGTGGGGCAACAGAGTGAAGCGTGGGGCCATAAGCAGCGACCATCTTTGAATTTGTCAATGGTACGCTATTTGGAGATTTATTGACACTCATAAACTGACGATGAATATTTGACATTTTGTTCACTGAATGATTTTCTTTTTTTTTTTGCCTTTCAGTTTGACAAGCCAAGATTTGGTGGCGCTCATGTTGCTGCTGCAAAGCCGAATCTTAGCAGAGCCAGGAAAGTAACCAAGGTAAATAGAGATCAAACAGTAACTGTTTGAATTGGGTTCTTAATGCAAGTTAATAACACTGATTCTTTACAGACGCAAGTCGTCGACCCCACTGATAAAGGTGCCAGTTGTCCAGCCAGCATGGCTGTCTCAGTGAGTAATGATATAACTCACTTTTATATTTTTACACACTATTTCTACTTCTACACACAAGTTTTAGTATTAGACTAAATAGTAGACAGCACTATGTCATTAAAAGTCAGTGTCATTGAAGGTTTTTCATTGCTATTTTCTAAATTCTTTCATCATTTGCATAGGCTGTTGATGATCAAAATGTCCCTGGGTACCAACACGTGGACAGACTTGCTGAGTATTTGGTGAATCTCCGAGATCAGACCTCTCTCTGTCTCAGCAATCAGCAGGTGAACCCCATTATTGCACTGTGGGAGAGCCTGGATGAAGGGGACAAGCAGCGGGTGGTCTATGCAGCAAGACATCAGGACAGACTTTTGAGTGGACGTTTCAGAACGCCAAAGAAGCCCTCAAACACGCCTGGTGTCGAGAGCACCACCCATTGCATGTTAGGTGCGAGTAGCGCACCAGCTCAGTGGCCTGACTGCTGTCGGTTGGTGGAGAACATTTTCCTAAGGCTCTGCAACCTTCACCCAAGTCCGGTTAGGAAAGGGAAAAGGGCAGATTCAAGGTGGTCTTTAATTTTGAGGGACTATCACAAGATTCGGCAGCTGGTACTTGGTAACTCTCTGGTGATGCAGGGAACAGAAATGCAGCTGGTGCAGGTGAACCAGAACACCCTCGTCCAGTGGCATAACAATCGGGAGAAGAAGCAGGAGCTCGCTGTGCTGCTCCAGGGCGCTACATTGCCTCCAGCCCTCCCTGAGTTAGAAGAGCCTCTTCAGGACGCAAGACTGCTCCCTGCTGAACCCATGCCAGGTCGACAGGAGCATCCATACCGGCTGCCTGAGAGTACAGCGGGTCAGGCCCAACAGAGGCAGATAGCCTCTTGTCACCTTCCACGTCCCATCAGGCCAAAGGGGTCAGTAAGGAGGCACCTGTTTGTTACACCTCCAGCACCAGGACCCTTTCCTCAGATCCTCACAACAGCTGGACAAACCTTTAATCTTTTGTCAGCAGTTCAGTAGTTCAGGTCACAAACCCACAAGCCAGTGCGCCGCCTACCACCACAGTAGAAACTGGAACCACTCCCAAGAGGCCATACAGACAAACCGTAGAGGCAAATACCTGCAAGAAGTGTGGCCAGTTCCGCACTGCTGACACTGGACACAGCCGGGTGTATTGCCCTATGTCGGAGTCTTTAAGTAAAGACCAGTGGTTGGTGGACATGAGGAAGAAGTTTCCTAAATAATTATGAATTAAATATTTTTTACCAAGAAAAGTATTTGCACTGTTAAAAGATACTAAACAATCCTTGCATGCAGATCAAAACCAAGCATCAATATAAAGGTACAGGGAATAACTCAAAGGCAATCATTTCTTTACCCAGTAGCCCAGCTTTATAACTGGGAAACACCCCAGCACTGAGTGACATCCAAATAAGGCAATGTGCGTCATACAGCAGGTAGGTACGACTCTTCCTCCTCCACTGAGAGAGCTGACAATTCCAAAGTTCGTCGGTTCGAGTCCCTCAGCGGCCTGCTCAAAAACTTAAACACATGAAAATTGAATTTTTTGTGCTAGATGTGGATACAAAATCGCCTTAATTTTCTTTTACGTTTTTCTCTCGTTTTCTCTCGTTTTCCCTTTCTTTTTCTCCTCCCCCTTCCTCCCTCGTCTTTGACGGACGAGTGTTCCCAAGCTTCGGCGCAAGTTGTAGCCTACGTAGCCCTCTAACATTTTGCGCCAAAGGGGATGGCTCTGTCCAATATGAAACGTGCGGTGTTCAGCGTCCACTCTCCGCAGCAAACTGAGTCACAGTCAGTCCTGTCTTTGAGCCACCCGCAAACGTGATTGTTTTTTTACTCGGCTGTGATTTAAAATGTAGCAAAGTACAAAAGGCTACTTCAAAGAAAACATATTTAATCACACAGGCCTATGAAATGAGTACAGAGTCGATTCAGAAGTAATAAACATTTTAAAGAGGAGCAGAATTGGTCAAATATTAAGTTGCTTTTTTAAAACTCCACAGCACACTCAAGATAACATGAACAAAAGATGATCACATTTTAAAAGTAGGAGTTAACAACTTTATTGGAAAGGCTAAAATTACATTGTGCAATAAGATAATTCATTCATTAGGTATTCACAACCACCGTTTCATGAAATTGAAAACACCCTCAATAACCATTTGCGTCCAGCCTTGAAGAGTCTCCGTTAACGTGTCAACCAGCAGCGTGCCTCCCTTTTAAAAGTCCCATCTTCACAGGTCCATTTGATTTGCGGGATTTCAGCCACCAACAGATCCCAGCACACGAAAGTACGCAGGCAGTCAAACACACCACTAGTACTGTTATACAGACAGTCCAATTTTTTTCAGGGTTTTTCGGCGGTGTCGTCTACAGAGGGGACAAGACAAAAAGAAAACCGGAGGAACACTGTTACACTGACATTTCATTTGTTATAGCCCTATAATCAATAATGCATGTAAGCTTTTTTAGAAGTGAGGCGTACCACAGATCCAGGCGGCGGTTTGGAGGTGGTCTGCTCCGGCTTCCTCTTGTTGAACCTCATCCTCACAGCAGCAGGCTTTCCTCGGGTTTTCTTCCAGTCTTTATCCAGGATGTAGATAAAGTAATCACCTTCGTCCTCCTGTTTAACCCCTTTCAAAGTCACCGACAGGTCTCCCTGCGACTTCCACTCAGGTGACACAGACACTCTTCCCTCAGAACCTTTCCCACTTAGGCCCATGTTCTTCTCGGAGGAGAGGTCCAGCTCAAACACAAGCTCTCCGTTTCTTTCCAACCTATACTTCCCATCTTCTCCTGCGGTCACGTAGTGAAAAGGAAATTTCACATTGTCTCCCAAGATCGGAGATACTTCGAAGGCTTTAACAACATAAAGATGGATCCGTGTCTCATCCTCGCTGTCGCAAGTTAACTCATACAACCCTTCGTCGTTCATGTTTGAACTGTTGAAGGTGACAGACTCGTTTGGGCTCATCTTGTCTTCATAACCTTGTGCCGGCTTCCAGGCAGCAGCATCTCGATGAGCCACCAGCCGAGCGCTGTCGTCTTTTAGCCGGTGCACCAGCCGGGCTCCTATTTGCTTGCAGTTTTCAGTTGCTGAAAACTCGACGGGATCTCCGAGAATTGAAACGATGCTTTCTCCAGAGACTGTCCTGACAGTACATACGAACAATAGGACTACTAATCGAAGCCCCTCCATTTAAAGTCTTCTCAGCGGCTGCGGTTACCTTTCTGTCAGCAGCACTGACTGAGAACATGAGAGGAGCAGTCACTAGCCTGCTAACTTGGCTCCACCCTTTAAGGGCCATGGCCTCTACACAGGCACACACACACACACACACATATATGTAGCCTATGCTACATTTCTGTTTTTGTTTTGTTTGTTTTATTCTAAAAATAGATAAAACATGGAGGGGGGGGGGGGGGGGTAGCATTTAATCTCATTTATTTATATTTATTTAGCCTACTTATTCTATTATTTTACTCTTTTAAACATAACCTTGGACCCACTGTCCAACACGTCTCCTCCACACAAAGCTTTACACTTTCTATATTACATTGCATTCTGATTTCAACATGAACAAATGAACGAAAACACAGTGCTGCCTGTTTCTGGTCTCAAAGATCAGCCAGCCAGGTATGCTATTCATAATCCTTTTATAGTGTTGAAAATAAGATATTTGCGATTTAAACCTACCAAATGTTTTTTAGCCTATTGTTAATTGAATCCATATTATTGTTGATTTTCTTGTTAATGTTGGGGCCTACTACAATATGAGAAGCCTAAAAAATTATTTTGCATAATAATGTAACTTAATATCAGTCACAACTATCAGGCATAATATAACAAAGTTTGTCAGTTTTGCAAGTTTCCCTCTGTAAAAGTCAGACTGGACACATCTGGATGGATGAGTTAAATTTGTGCACAGAACTTGATGTGTTAATTTAAAGCCTTTCCTAATAATGTGGGTGGTAGGGTCTACTTCGCTTTCAGATTTTAGTGGGGAATATTGTCCTTTTTACTCCACTACATTTATTTTACTGCTTTACAGATAGACATACGTTCAATTTATATAACATGACGCAAGAACACATTCACACAGATCACAGTAGGCAAAATAATTCAAATTAGCTTCACCTCGACAAACATTAATATGCTGCTTGGGTGTTAATGTATCAGTTATTATATTGTAATAATAGCACACATATTAGGTTAATAATGTTGCTGATTTTTAAAATAATATTGGCCTATAGAATATGTGTATCAATTTAAAAATGCATTTTAGAAGTAGGCTAACAATTTCCATTAAAGAGGTGAAGCAGATGGGTTAATTAGCGGATGATGAAATTAAAAAAACACCACATTTATTTCTCAGTAGGCCTAAGTATTGCCTTTAAGTAGGCTATAGATTGATACGAAATTACTCTGTAAATAATGTTACCAGTTTGTTCGTTTAAATGATGTTTTAGGCTACTAGTTCCTTGCAGTTACTTGTGTTGCAGATTTTTAATTACAGCAGTTTAGTTTTATCTTTATAATTTTTGAGAATTCACTTAATTAGTTGTTCTGCAAACAGGACAGGAGGTGAGACATCGCCTCCCCCCACACAACATGAACAAAAGATGGTAACATTTTAAAACTACAAATTGACTCCTCAACCATCACTCCAACTAAGGTGGTGAGAAACTTGGGTGCCATGATTGATGACCAGCTGTCCTTTTCAGTCCATGTGGCGGCTGTCTCTCAGTCACGCCGCTTTGCTCTATACAACAGGCCATGGTTATCTCTCGCATCGACTATTGCAATGCCCTCCAAACAGGTCTTCCAGCTTGTGCGGTGAAACCCTTACAAATGGTTCAGAACGCAGCAGGCCGTCTGGTTTTTGATCAGCCCAAAAGAACTTATGTCACTTCTTCTATCCCCTAAAATGATCTTGTATTGATTGCACTTTTTGTTAGATCTTACTTCCTTCCCTAGGTATTTACCCCATTGATGTGATATGTACTATGAGCTCTTACTAGTATTTATTGCAGCTCTTATTAGTATGTATTGTCAGTTGTAGATCTGTATTTGATGCTCTGTTGATGCTTGTATGTTGTTCCTCAAATGTAAGTTGCTTTGGATAAAAGCAAATGAGTAAATGTAATGTAAACGTCAGAATCAACTTTATTGGCAAAGAGGATTAACGGGCATACGACAAAACAAGAAAACCTAAATAAAGCAAACATAGGTAGGCCAATATTGAAAAACAACAGTGTAATACTGCAAAGAACGTTACTGAAGGCAAGTTTATTTATAGGCTATAGCACATTTCATACCAGGTGAAGACTTAAGGTGGCTCATCTATTGCAGGTGCATAGAACGCGTGTATTGTGGAGAAAGCTGTTTTTCCCATAAAACAAATAAAGCTAAAGAATTTCATGACTGAAGAAAGTGAAACAGGGTCCGAGGTGGAAACCAGAAAAGGGCATATTATTTTACACATTATAGGCCATAAGTCAATTAAATCAGTGAAAACCAAAACAGTTGATAACAAATCATTATGGATATTCTTATACTCAAATGTAAGTTTTAGGCCACTTGATTTTTTTAGTTAAATATTTTAATCATGACAATAATTTATGAGGATTTGTGTATATTTATTTGGCCGATGCATTCGTACATTAAGGGTTTTAAATATTATTATTTTCTCTATTGATTCATTAGTAATGAATGTTGTTTTAATATGCTATGAGCTAAAGTCAAAAAACGGCACATGTTCTGCCTGAAATAATGCTGTAATAAGGCTGTATTAAAAGAGAATAAATGGTTTCATTCCCAACGTTTTATTTAGATGAAAATGACATAGCATACTATTTATGTTTCAATTATTGGAGGTCGGTCAGGAGGTTGAGGAGAAGACATTTTTTGTTTTCTAATTGAAGTGTGCCAGCCCACTGCCCACATGCAGCTACAACACCATGCTGTTCAGTTACAATGCATTTCTGCAGCCACAGATCATCTGCCCACATAAGATTTGATGGTTGGTGTTGTATATAGAGATTCCTATAGGCCCTCTTACTCTATCTTTGCATTGTTGTTATAGAAGTATCTTAATGCTTTATTTAAGTTGCTTGAAACATAAACCCGCACACATTCTCTTCCATACTGAATGCTAAAAAGTAATTAGTAGGCACAACAACAGATCCGACCCATAACTCTTTACCTCCTCATAAACAATAACAAAATAACACACAACGTTAACTCGTTATTGCACATCACTGTTCAAATGCTGCCATCTGCTGGCGACTTGGAAACACAGACCAACTCTCTCACATCATTCACTTGTCTAAACCACAAATCTACCAAGAAGTAACTCAGCTGCCAGGCCCCTTTACACTGGCTCCCAGTAGGCTATGTTTTAGGATTTATTTTGATTACATTTAAGGCTCTGAAGCTATCCAAACAATAAAGAGAGCAAACTTTCCTCAACAAATCTGTCTCCAACAGGTCCCCCAACTTTGTGGAAGTGAAACAAAGCATTAAATTGACTGTACTCACCAACAAGGAAGCTGATGTATCCTTTCCTGACTTGACTCTTGTCTTGTTTGTTATAGGCAAACCCAGGTAATCCAAACATCGAGTGCAAGAAAGAGAAAGAGAGCAAGACACTTGCACTCACTTATTCGTCACTTTTCAAAACTCACTAGAGGTCTACATCGACCTCCAGTGGGTAACTGAAAGCACAACAGCTCTAAAGGAATAAACAAAACATGTAGGCCTGCAGTGTTTACCAAGAAAGGTTTTAGTAAAAAATTTCTTCTGCTCGTTTCAGCCTGGAATAGAGACTCGGATGTCCTTGTGCTGAAGATTGGGATCTCGCTTCCTGCTTCTGTAAACGTGAACCCAGTTTGTATTGAGTCTCCACTCCACTGTTAAAGTCCTCACATCGAGTGAAGGTCTCCTGAGGCACAGCAGGATGACGCCCTGGCCCAGTGGTACTTGAACTGGCTGATGTGAGCCCATGGCTTCAGGCAATCCTGGGAAAACAAAATGTACATGTTGGTTAGAAGCAGAAAGGCTGGACACCATAAGTACTCAGTGACGCTTACACATTAATGCATCACAATTTATACTTCAGTGATACAATGTAGTCTATATGATTCTGACCAGGGCCATCTGCATATTGAGTAGCGTACTATTACTATAGGCTATATTTGAATGCTAATAGTTATGAACTTTCACTCAGTTGTGTACCAAGTACCAAGTAAAAGTGCTCAATGAAAAACAGGATTTTCTGCATGCAGTTACTGAGGTGGAGCTCATTTCTCATCAGACTACAACTACAAATATTTTTTTTAAATTATGGATTATCCTGTTGATTATTTTCTCCACTAATCGATTGATTGCTTGGTTTGTAAAAAATAGCTGTTTTTTTGAGGAAAAGCAACAAATCTTCACATTTGTGAAATGTATCAAAATAATTGCTAATTCGTTTTCTGCCAATCGAATAATCAGCGGTAGGCTATAAACGGCTGGGTAGTTTAATTTTTAACAAAAACATCATTAACTCTTAGTAAGTTTTGTGTGTAAAAATCTTAGTAGAAGTGCCATGAAAAGAAAATACAAGTAGCCTACCTCATATCGTTATGCATACGACTTGGACTATACATAAAACTAAACATGAATCGTATAAAAACAGCTATGCAGGACCTCTTTTTTTCTTGGACAACGCCTGTCTATCTGACAGCCCACATCCGGAAGAGAACCAGACCGCGGTGAAGTTAGTTTTAAGTTGGATATTCGACAGACATTCACACAGGATCCAGTGACGGCTTTTTAGTCAGTTCACCCAGTGAAGGTTGTATAAGTGCGGTTAGCTCACCTCTGATGGCTCGCTTTTAACCAACGGGGGTTAGCTTAGGGACCATCAATAAATTACAATTGTGAGAACAGTGTTATGGGAGAATCATTATTTATTTCAATAGCTTCCAAGTCATGTGACACAGGGACTTCAAACCAATGTCGAATTGTAGTACTATACTAGGCAAATGAGACACACCCCTTCATATTTGATTTGAGTGCATATTCGAATTTATATGAATATTTATTCATAATTTATTGAAAAAAGTGCTGTTTTTTTTCAATAGCTTCCAAGTCATGTGACACAGGGACTTCAAACCAATGAGGAATTGTAGTACTACACTAGGCAAATGAGACACACCCCTTCATATTTGATATGAATATTTATTTATATTTTTTTCTTCAATAGATTCCATATATAGATATATAAATATGTTACGAAAGATTTATTTTAATTCCACAGGTCCAGTGTGATGGCTGTGAACGGTGGTTCCATGCTCAGTGTGTGGAAATGGACAGCACACAATATGAAGAGGCAAAGAAAGGAAACTGGGAATGTCCGTTGTGTAAATAAAGTGTTTCTTTGAAATCTGCTCAATGCTGTGGAAGAAAATGACTGACTCTGTGTGGTACAACTGCAGTTGTACAAGAGGTGTGTAATATGTGTAACAGGTAGTAGTACTATTCGGCATTGGTTTTGAGTCCCTGAATCATTTGAAATGGAATCTATTGAAGAAAAAAATATAAATAAATATTCACATAAAATAAAAAATGCACTCAAATCAAATATGAAGGGGTGTGTCTCATTTGCCTAGTGTAGTACTACAATTCGGCATTGGTTTGAAGTCCCTGTGTCACATGACTTGGAAGCTATTGAAAAAAAAAGGCATTATTTTCCATAAATTATGAATAAATATTAATATAAAGTCGAATATACTCTCAAATCAAATATGAAGGGGTGTGTCTCATTTGCCTAGTGTAGTACTACAATTCGGCATTGGTTTGAAGTCCCTGTGTCACATGACTTGGAAGCTATTGAAAAAAAACAGCACTTTTTTCAATAAATTATGAATAAATATTCATATAAATTCGAATATGCACTCAAATCAAATATGAAGGGCTGTGTCTCATTTGCCTAGTGTAGTACGACAATTCGGCATTGGTTTGAAGTCCCTGTGTCACATGACTTGGATGCTATTGAAAAAAAAAGGCATTATTTTCCATAAATTATGAATAAATATTAATACAAAGTCGAATATGCTCTCAAATCAAATATGAAGGGGTGTGTCTCATTTGCCTAGTATAGTACTACAATTCGGCATTGGTTTGAAGTCCCTGTGTCACATGACTTGGACACTATTGAAAAAAAAGAGGCATTATTTTACATAAATTATGAATAAATATTCATATAAAATAAAAAATGCACTCAAATCAAATATGAAGGGGTGTGTCTCATTTGCCTAGTGTAGTACTACAATTCCTCATTGGTTTGAAGTCCCTGTGTCACATGACTTGGAAGCTATTGAAAAACAACAGCACTTTTTTCAATAAATTATGAATAATATTCATATAAATTCGAATATGCACTCACATCAAATATGAAGGGGTGTGTCTCATTTGCCTAGTATAGTACTACAATTCGGCATTGGTTTGAAGTCCCTGTGTCACATGACTTGGAAGCTATTGAAATAAATAATGATTCTCCCATAACACTGTTCTCACAATTGTAATTTATTGATGGTCCCTAAACTAACCCCCGTTGGTTAAAAGCGAGCCATCAGAGGTGAGCTAACCGCACTTATACAACCTTCACTGGGTGAACTGACTAAAAAGCCGTCACTGGATCCTGGGTGAATGTCTGTCGAATATCCAACTTAAAACTAACTTCACCGCAGTGAGAAACCAGTTCCAGAGAAATGTAAACACAGCCTTCCTGTGGTCGAAACTATCTTCTTCCTCTTTATCTGTCAGTGTAGCTTCCAACAGACAGCTCCTTGTTTTTAAAAGTACCTTCCCTCTAAATAATAGGCTATGGAAACAACATATGAGATCATCAGCAAGTCACCTGTGTTGGAAATCAACATACTGAAAATAAAGCGTTCATTAGCAAAACTAAAAGCCATTCCTAAATCAAATAAACCAACACTTGCTTGATTAGGCTAATATTGCAACACATTCTCATCTCAATGCGTCATACCTGACGCTTTCAGACAGCGTAAGGATTTTACCTAAAGGTACCCTTCAGCGTCAGTATGAAACGCCCCCGTTTGCTACGTTGCAGCAACACACGGGACGGTAACCCTACCTGCTGTAGGGTTATCCGGTCAACATGCATAAAGTCAGTGTCCCTGGTTTAGGTACCAACATTTCTGATGGTTGTGGTAAGAGTAGGGGCTTCGGGGGCTGTCAACACCTAGTTGAAGTCAGAATGTGTTGAAATGAAAATTAATTTAAGCTATACCTGTTAAATCCAGAGCAGCATCGGTAACAGCAGAATAATTAGCTTCCCAATCGTTGATCGGTGCCACGAACAGGATTAAAATGAAAGCCCTACAGACAGAAAATAAACTTTCAGTTTTGTTCCACTCCCTCGTGCGTCCAGAGCCTATAAAGACGTAGCCTATAGTTCATATGATGGATGCAAGTTACAGCCTCGAACATCTTAACAATCACCTGCTTGGACACAACATAGACCATTCCTGTGCATGTTTGGTTACCAGCACTCACTGGGGCAATGAGATCATCATCATTTTATGTTTATATGTTGCTGCGCTGTCATAGTATTGTTGTGATCTGCATTGTGTTCTGCGGCGTCTCCACTGTGTACATTTAGTCAGTATGAGGGAATGGAAATACAGAGTGAATGAGATTCTCACGCTCACAATCAATTTCACACACAGGAATGACAATGTTAGGGTTAACTACCTTGCTCAGGTAAGACGATGGTCCACTGGCGGTCTCTAGTGAGAGAGAGAGAGAGAGAGAGAGAGAGAGAGAGAGAGAGAGAGAGAGAGAGAGAGAGAGAGAGAGAGAGAGAGAGAGAGAGAGAGAGAGAGAGAGAGAGAGAGAGAGAGAGAGGAACAGGTTGGGAAGGTCAGAGTGTTTTTACGGAGTGTTTTATCCAGAGCACGACAGCAAAAAAGTAGCGACAGCATATAACTCTGGTGCAGAAAGTCCGATAGTCTAACTATCTTTATTAAAGAGGAAACTAGTGTAAGCCCTACCTGGCTCTGTTTTGCTAAGTCTGCAAGTATATCTAAATATCCAGGCTCTGGGAGGCAATTGGTGCAACATGAACAAAAAATACCACTTCTTAATCTGTGTTTTTTGGTTTAACTATTACTGATTGTTTTTCCAGTCTTATTTCCCATCAGTTAAAATTCTCTGCCCTTACACTAGCCCCTATGAAAACATGGGCTGTCTCATTTACCCATACTGACCCCTAGTAGGGCCTACACATCTGAATTAAGTCAGCTTAAGGCCTTAGGTCGGCGCATGGAGAGGCTCTACCAAAAGACTGGATTTATACATTTTAACAGATGTAAATTATCATGTACTCTAGTACAAAAATGCTCTCTCAACATCCAAAATCTCATACTATGCTTATACAGTATAATCAAGGAAGGTGAAGGGAATACCAGAACTCTCTTCTCTGCAGGAAAAAGACTACTCAAACCACTGGAAGCTAATATGAACAATAACCTTTCAAATGAACAGTGCTCTGCTTTTTTGACTTTCTTCAACCCAATAATTACTGCAATTCATGAGCATCTTGCCTCTGTGAACATTATCCAGACCAGCCTATCATGAAGTTCAATGTCACTGCCTGCATCCACCATCTTTTGTTACTTCCGCTTTCAAACTGAAATTCACATTTCTGAAATTATTACCAACTCCAGCAACTCCACATGTAACCTGGATCCAATCCCAACAACCCTAGTTAAAGCATGCTTGCTTTCTAACATTTCCCTAATAACATCCATCATCAACTCCTCTCTGTCCACTGATCCGGTTCCACACTCCCCTCCAGTACAGTCAGTGCCAGCCTACATGATATACATGGATGACAACTATGTACAACTCAACAGTTGTAAGACTGAGCTATTGCTCACTGGTTCCAAATCTACTCAAGCTCACTGCCCATTAATGGAGCCATCATATCCACTCAGGTTAAGAGCCTTAACTCGTTCCCTGTGGTCTTCCACAATAAATATTTTAGCACTACCGCCCATCAACCTCAGTACAATGGGTGTCAGGGCCTTCTCCTAAACTGGAAACTGGAACTCTCCCCTCCCCATCGCACATGTATACTGGACTTACAAAATTCAAAACTGCTCTTAATAATCATCTTTTCAAACTAGCAAACTCACTGTACTGATGTGCAACACTGATTTTATTTGATTGTTGACCTTTTACTTTTGATGCTCTGTTTCAATGATGTATTAATGGTGCTTGATGTATTTTATGATGTAAGGAGACCTTGAGTGTAATGAAAGGCACCATCAAATAAAATGTTAAAATTAGAAAGACTGGCACCATTAGAAGCCACTAATATAGAAAACAACATATAAAACTAAACATAAGTTGTGTAAAAACAAAGGAAAGACATCTTGTCTACTTGGACTACGCATAAGTGTAAATGCATGATGTAAAAGCAAGTTAGTGCAGTGCTTCCATTAGTTGGTCCACTTAGTAATCTTGTTTTGAAAAGTGCCTCTCAAAATAATTAATCATTTAAAGTATGCCTCCTCCCCCTCCTACAAATAGGCTACATTGTGGAAACAACATGAGATGGGGTGGTGATGCCTGCCTTTGGGACTAGGGTTCAAGCCCCCATTGTGACCCATCCACCAACGTGTCCCTGAGCACGACCCCTAGTTGCTCCAGAGGCGACCTCTAACATGTAGGCAATTGTAAGTGGCTTTGGATAAAAGCATCAACTAAATGAATAAGTGTAATATAATGAGATCATCAGATCAAATCATCTGTGTTGGAAATCAACAAAAATGAAACTTTCATTTGCAAAACATAGTTAAATGCCTTTCTTAAAACAGATACACCAGGACCTGTTTAATTGATATTCCCTGGGGTATGCAAACAACTTGTTTTAGGAGAAAAAATAGAAAGAGAGATATCTGTTTTTTGTTTGTTTTTACAAATGAACCCTTCAAATCTATTTCAGTTCCAGCTTTGTTATTTGGCTGATATTCATATCCTTCACCGGGAAAACTGGCTTGTCTGAGTGTCCTCAATTTACTGGCTGATCACGATCCTGCTTTTTTCTATGGAACCATAGACGAAGGTAAAATAGGTAGGCTACCAACCAGTCAAAGGCAAAAATCTGTTGAAACTGAAATTAATTTACCTGTTAAGTCCAGGTCAGCGTCGGTGCGATCAACAGGATCAACATGAAAGTTCAGCAAGACAAGTTACACAGTTACCCAGACAAAATTTGGTATTGAAGCCTCTAACTGCAGTGGACTCAACTGTCTCAGCTGTGATGGAAATTTCACAGCTTACTCCGCCCACTCAGAGCAGCTCTCTCTTCTCGCTCTCATCCCAGGAGTTATGGACGCACATCATAAACATATGACGGATGTAAATAAAACAGCTTCGAAGATCTTAACAAAACGTGCTGGGTCACACATGAAGTGAAACATGCGAGACTTTCCTTATACTTGATTATGTAATATTCAAGAAAACATTTGACTCAGCAGCACACTGCAGTGAAGGTGCAGGTGCTTTTGTTTGTGCAGGTTGGTTACCAGTAAGCGCTGGGGCAACGAGATCTCCATTTTTGAGCTGTCATCGTATTGTGCATTGTTGCATTGTGCTGTGCAGTGTCTCTGTGTGCAATCAGTCAACACGAGTGAATGGAAATACACAATGAATGATTACCGAGATCCTCACGCTGACAATCAATTATTAATAACTCCATTGAGAAAATATAAGTAGGCCTAATAAATGGAAACGGTCTCCCTGATTATTTTTTCTGTCTGAATATCGTATTTTGATTGAAAAGCCCAAGTCAAATTATTTACAATCTACTTGCACTCATAATTGTTCACTACAGTTAAGTATGGTTAACTGTAACTGTCAATATTTTGATCAGTTCATGTCATCACACATTTGCCCCTGTGATTCTTTCCAATCTGCAACAGCATGAATAATCTACCAAATATGCAGCGTTATATTAGATTAGGCCTACACTAAAACTGGAGTGGGAAGTGGCCTAAAACCTTTGTATGATTATCTGTTTCTTTGACGTTCTTCACTGGCAAACTGACCACGTGACATGTCATGCACTGGGTCTGTGGCGGTGCATTAATCAACAACTGGTTAATATGTACTTCTAAATATATTTCCTCTAGCTATATAAACAGGTATAAAAAAAAACATTTAAAGCGCACCTTAACTTGACACACTAATGCGAAACATGTTTTGTGCCAAGCCATCTACCCACCATTTTTTAACAGGATTGTCTTTTTAAAGCATACCTGCCCTCAAAATAATTAAGAAGACTTTTTTCATTCGATTATTTGAATCAAGTCAAGGGCAACTGGACTTGGTTGAAGATACTGGAAAAGTCCAGTTGCCTTTGACTTTAAACTTAAATTGATAACTAGGACCTAGATGACTGAGAATCTTCACAGACTTCATTCAAATAACTTTTGTTTCCCGGTCGCATTGAACGCACCATCTTCTCTACTAATACGACGCTGTTCTTTAAATCGAAAGTATCGTTCAGTAAAACTTTTGCATGAACCGAGAAGAGTCAGTCTGACTCAGGTTACTTTGTAGACAGGAGCTATGGGTGTAGTTTCCTAAGTTTCAGACACTCAGTGTAGCCTATTTAAATTTTTTAAACCTGTAATAGATTGTTTCTATGTGGTTTTTTTTGTTTTCTTTTATTAGTTTTAGTTATGGCCATGTGTCGCCGTCTCTTCCTGGTTGCTTCCCTGTATGGTTTTTTGTGTTGCGCAGGTATGTATATGAGTGTTGGATGTTTTTATCTGTTTTGAAGCCTTTACCTTGCGTTGAATTTGTGTTGTCATAGATGTGTGGTCCTTCTGTATATCTGGTTTTAAGAATCTACACTAGTGATAAATTTCATTTTAATAGCCTTTTAACACTGTCCCAGTATACCTGAAACATGCTGTCCCAAATTACCACAACACCTTTGGTAATTTGGGACAGCAAGAAAATGTCCTAATTTAAAAAATGGAAACAAAGTCATTTCCAAACAATATTTTGTATTTTGGTACACTATTACACCATACATGTTTTGTATAGGCCTATCATTTAAAACTACAGTATATTAGTCATAAAATGTTTTACCCTTAGGCCAAAATCAAGCTGAAGCCTGTCATTTCCCGTTAACTCTTGTTTTTTGAGATCAACTTCTTGTTTGATGAAGACCACACCCCGTGTGATGACATAAATTATGTACTTTAGTCATGTGCATTGACAGCAAGGTCTTAGCAATAAGTTTGACTTAAAGCTTTCAGGGGAGAAGAAAAAGTTTTTTTTGTTATGCTATCCCAATATACCTGACTTCACCCTATTTTTGGTGCCCAAATGGGAAGTTAAGCGCCAGAGGCTTTGTAGACGATGTTAAGCGGTTGCAGTTTGGTTGGGTTTGAGTCCACTAGGCTGCAGGCTGGACCACCAGGATACTCACAGCCAAATAATACGGTCTTCACAGTGGACCAGGAAAAAAGGCTGCAGATGTAGAAGAAGGGCAGCCAATATCTAATCCAAATGTGCATTAACTGTGGATATTCTAGTTAGCTAGCTAAGTTATGTTTATATTATTTTTTTATTAAGAAAAAGGACATAATGAGTTTGCAATTACGTATTAAGAAGGGCAGTGTCAAACTTTCGAAATAAAAGCAAGAATAACTATATCGTTGTGCTTCTTCCACGGATGAAACAATGCGCACCTTTCGTTCAAAGTGAAATTATACTGAAGTGTTTCCACATTTAAAAAAAATAACACCTGGATAGAACACACACGTGAGTTGCTGATGACAACAAATGACTTCTGTCTGTAATGTTATGTTTTAAAATGACGTATAGCCTATCTGAAAAGTGTTTCAATCGTCCCGGCTCTATCCCTAGGCCTACAGGACGCAGTAGCCTATTTGTTAAGGATAAAACAAATTGCGTAAGGAGGGAAAGTTAACATGGAAGTAAATGTGTGAAGAGCTGAGTGGTGGTGCGTAAGCATAGAGCTTACAATGCAGTATGGTTTTACACCTCTGGGTAATTCCTCTTTTATGACATGACAATACCACCTTAAAAAAGCTACAGCACCCTGATACAAGCTGATGACGAGCATAAGATGTGTGAAAACGTTTTAAACGTGTTAAATTAAATGTCAACAGATCACCATGGTCATTAGGTTTCATTAATTAATTAACTAATTTCAGTCTACCTGGTGGACTGACTGAATAGCAGATGAAACAAGCTGTAAAGCTAAAACTGAAATATCTGACTTTTTAGATACTAAATGCTCCACTGATATCACTAGCTAAGTTTCTAACGTTTCTGTTTCTTTTTTGTGGCTTAGCAGGACACTGTAGTTTTTAGCAAATGTTAGTCAAACAGGAGTAAATTTATTGGGAACTATTTTCATCTGTGGATTTATACACTTTAATGCTCTATTTGGGGCAGCAGGACGGTGTGTAAAGTTCAGTAAAAATAAACTGTGTATCTATAAATGTGTTTCTAATAGTTTTTGGACAACAACAGCCTATGGCACAGAGGAATAAGCTGTACCAGGCTTTGGATACACAAAAAGTACTTGTTGTACTTCAGGATACATTCAGTGTTGGTTTTGGTCTTTGTCAGGGGATTTGATGACAAGAAGAAAAATATGAATTTCACCACTACCATGTTTTGTGTTTTGTTTTGTTTCCTAGGTGGAGCCTCGGAGAATAGTGTATCAAGGAAGATCCAGGCCCTTGCTGGTGATACTGTCGTTCTGCCCTGCCACATCAGTGTCAGTGATGACATCCCAACAGTAGAGTGGTCCAAAGAAGGTCTGCATCCAGACGTCGTCTTCCTGTACCGTGATGGCTGTGAGACCCACGAGATGAAGAATCTGGACTTCCAGTTCAGGTCAAACCTCTTCATGAACGAACTGAAATATGGAAACATCTCACTGAGGGTTACCAACGTGCAGCTGTCTGATGAAGGAACATACATTTGCAAGACGCTCCAGAAGCCGCATCGGCAGGTCGTTGCAGTGGAGCTTGTTGTGGGTATGTCCGAACAAATGTATTCATAGTAAAAGCTATTGTGTGACGTTATTCTCTCCTAAAAGCTGCTTGTTTCCTTTATGAAGAAGGGTCCAGCTTGGAGTGCTGCACAGGCCTAGTTGTTTATTACAGATGTTAAGTTTCAGTATCATGGTTAGGTTTTGTTGGTACAATGTTTGAATGGTTTAAAAACAGCAAACTGCACACTAGGTAATACTCCCATGAACATTTTTTAGTAATTCCACCAAGTCATGTTTCAGGTACATGTAAAGAAATAGCGTACAGGGTTGCGGGGGGCTGAAGCCAATACCAGCTGCCATCGGGCAAAAGGCAGGGTACACCCTGGACAGGTCACCAGTCCATCACATAGACAAACAACCACTCACACCACTCACCAATTAACCTAGTTCACATGTTCACATTAGCGTAGCTTAGCAAAGTTCAAAGGTAGCAAAATCTGCTAACCAGCTCTTGTAAAGCTCAATAATCAATAGGCCTAATAATCTTTGTTACAAAGATTGTTTAATTATTAATAATTGTTTCTGTAGAAAAAAGTGTACAAATGACAGTAAGCTGTTTTATGGGGCATTATGTGCCCTATATCTAAAGTAAAATTGAGGTAAAACTTGGAGTGGTGGGTGGGACAGTGCATAAGACACATGCCATTGGTGTAACAGACCCAGGTTTGATTCCCACTGTGACACATCCACCAGTGTGTCCCTGGGCAAAACACTTCACCCCTAGTTGAGGCGTGCAACCTCTAACATATACAGGATGTAGCAAATGTAAGTCGCTTTGGATAAAAGCTTCAGCTAAATGGGTTAAATGCAAAAAAAACCCCCAACTTTTGCATGAACGGGTTGAGTGCTCTGTGGACAGGACCTATGGATCTAAGTTTCAATTTACTATTTTTCTTTATTTAAAAAAAAAATTGGTAATAGATACATTGTTTGAATGTGTTTTGTTTTTGTTTAGTTTTAGGTGTGTATGAGAGTTGAATGTTTCTGTCTTGTTTGATTTGTTTTGTTATTGAGTAGCTAGATCACCCAAAAAGTAGTAGTGTTTGGTAAGGTTAAGATTCATTGTGTAAGGAGGGAAAATCAAAAGGGAAGTAAATCTGGTGCAAACTGAGTTTTGGGCTGGTGTGCGTGGGTGACATTGCAGAATTATTTTTACACCTCTCCCTTATTCCTCTTTCAATCACTTGACAAATAACAGTAGTGACCCTTGACCAGTAATGATGGACAGCTTAAATAGGTTAATTAACAATAATCTTTTTTACAAAGATTGTTTCATTATTAAACAATAATTTATAGAAAAACAATAATGGCAATGACAATTTGTAATAATGACAGTTGATGTTTTCTGGAGAATTATGTGCCAGACTATTTCTTTGCTTAGAGAAGTAACTTCCTGGCAACGTCTCAAAACTGCATACATAACATAAACCCCCGTAAAACATCAACTGTTTTCTAGTTTCCAGTTTTTACGCTAAGCTATGATAACCACACAGATGTGAGAGTGGTACCAATCTTATCTCATCAGACGCTCAGCAGGGAAGCAAATAAGCATTCCCAAAATGCTTTCAGATAATAGTGCATACAGACTGTTTAAACAGATTAAAAATAATTTATTTATTTTACAAATGTTGACAGATATATTGGATGGAAAGTTCAAAGGTCACGCCTTGTATAATTCTTGTTTTTCTAGGTGCAGTTTCTGAGCCAAAGCTCTCAGCTGTTCCTGCTGTGGATGGTGGAAAGACTCTGCAGTGTGAAGCCAACTGCTGGTGGCCGGAGCCTGAGATAACGTTTCATGATGAACAGGGAAACAACATCAGCGCTGAAACCCAGAAGAGTTATCTAAACTCCAGGGGATGTTTCACTGTCACAAGGAGAGCGACTGCTACCACCAACAGGTTCAATTTCAGATTAATACTCATTCATACTTCCATTTTCAAATCTAAGTTGTCATTTGCTTTATTTACTTCACCCAAGGAGGTTAGAGTTTCCGTTAGCTCAAAATCTTATATACTCCACTCAATATGTGTCAAGCAAAAATCAATTTCCAGCAGTAAAGGCTCTCTCACACTAAAATCTGGAGAGAACCGTGTATTTCATGGCAGCAGATGCATTTAATAGTTGTTGAGATATTTCAGTCTGGACCAAAGTGGTGGACTAACAGACAGGCTAACCTGACATTGCCAACCCTTGAGCGACTCCGCTAGCGAGGCTAAAAACAAATGTTATGTCAGTGTGGCGTCAGCGCTGATGATGCACTTCCTCATGTGTTTATTGGCCGTAAGCTACAAAACGTGAAACATATTAGTTCATGTAGTACTCTACAGGTTGGTGTTTCATACCTGTGAACAGAGGTGGACGCAATATTCCACACTGTAAAAATACTGCATTGAAAATGTTATATAAAAGTATGTAAATATAAACAGGTAAATGTACCTAAAGTATTAAAAGTAAAAGTACTCAATACAGAAAATGTCTCCTGTGACTGTTATACTATTATAAATTAGATAATGCAATTATTATTACTCATGTATTATTAAGCAGGGTTTTACTGGTTTTTTTTGTATTGGACTGCAACTAATAATTATTTTCATTACAATTTCATCTGCTGATTATTTTCTTCAATAATCGATTTATTGTTTGTAAAAAATTTTAAAATAGTGAGAAATGCTGTCACAATTACCCAGAGCCCATAGTGACGCCTTCATAATGCTTTGTTTTGTCCAAACCTTCAGGCCAACAGACCTCAACATATTTAACAACACATTCAAATAATAATTAAAAGGAAAAGCAGCAAATCTTCATATCTGTGAAGCTTGAAACCATGAATTGTTTTAAAATGAAAAACAGCTTAAATGATAAAAATAGTTGCCAATTTTATTTGTGTCAACTGACTAATCATTTCAGCTGTACTTGTATAAACTGTTGGGTAGTTTAATAATAAAACATACTTTATAAACTCTATATGTTTTGTTTGTAAAACTTAATTTATAAAGTAACTACTAAAGCTCTTAGATAAATGTAGTGAAGTGAAAAGTACAATATTTCCCTTTGAGATGCAGAATGAAGTAGAAAGTGGCACGAAAAGAAAATACTCTACTACTATAAGTAAATTACAGGTACTTCCAATTTGTACTTAATTACAGTACTTGAGTAAATGTACTTAGATACTGTCCACCACTGGTGGTGAAAAAGAAGCTACGTTTTCCAGCATCAACTCTACACCTTTCAATTAATAACTAACAAAACTAAAACTTGCAACTTGTGTCTTTTCATCACAGGGTCACCTGCAGAGTTCACCAGCCGCAGATAAATCAGATGAGGGTCACAGATATTTACATGCCAGGTACGCTGCCTTTTTAATAATCCTCTTATCAACTGGATTAACTACATTCACATGCTTTAAACCTCACTGCCATTTTCACAGCCGCGTACAGGTCTTCTATAATCAATTACGCTACTATGTATGCGGATTAAAAACTGTAACTAGTTTTGGGTTTTGTTCTCTCATCATCTCTTTTCCCTTGACAATTATAAGTTTTCTCCAATATGGCAACATCTGTAGTTTTTCCAGAAGTCTTTACAGTTAACACATAAAAGGCCAACAACAGCAACAACAGTCAATTAATTTCCCATTAATTTTTCTGAATATTTTGTTCTTTCAAAAAATGTGTACACTAAATTATGTTAACATATTTTGGTCATTATTGCCTGTTCTAATGCTGTTTTGTAAGATTTGGATCATATTTCAATCATTTTAGGGTAATAACATACTGATATTATTCTGACTAAGATCGTTAAGTCAATTTTATGTATCTGACATTTAGATCGAATATGATAATTGGCTGTGCTTATTACAGCCACAGATACCAGATGTTTTGGATTTCAATAAACCCTTTAAATGTGACTGTACTTAGTTTGCTAAAAGTGGTGGATGCATGCAGTGCTGAACTGAAGCTCCTGATAATCTTAAACAAATTACTCAGAAGGTCTTTTTGTGTAGTATATCGCATTTCTGAAATATCATATAACAAACTTATTTCTGTGTAATCTTTGAATCTCATTTCAGATGACAGCAAGATATCCTGCACTGTAATCGTCATCATCGTTGGTCTGATAATCATAATACTTTGTGCATTTATTGCCTACTTGTACAAGAAATGTGGAAAATCAGGTAAGTGTTTTATCTGCAGCTGCTAAGTCCCAAAATTCATCACCATCTTCCTCAGCCAAATGCCCCCAAGACACAAATATGTGTAGAATATTGGTGATATCTTTATATCAATGTCTTTTGATATGATATTGGAGTTTCCAATATATATTCCATTTCTGTTTGGGAGTTTATAGTAACAAAACTGAAATGTCAAGTGAAAACAGAACATTTTTTGTTCACACAGCTGGGGGACATAAATTGCCAGACAATGGAAGTACAACAGAGGTTTACACCCAGAGAAACCAGGCTGACATGGGAAATGACTGCAATGAACATCTGAGATACATAGATGAACTGATGTTGAGCCTTCACAACAAAGAAAAGATCATCGACCAACTAACTGAAGAGCTGAAAGAAGTCAGATCTAAGCAGAGTCACGTTGTGTGCCAGCATGACCAGCCCCTGTTTGACCATAGTCCTTCTAATCCCTCACCAGACGTCTCAAAACCCAATAACCCACCCCCACACCAGTTTCCCTACGACAACAATCCAAAACCAGCGTCCTCAACAAATGGCAAACGTCCAAAATCTGTCAACCTACCCCAGATCAAAGATTCAAAACCTGGCGTCTCAATACAATTTACAGCAGCTGGCCCCCTGATCCAAAGAAGCGGTCACAGCCACAGCAGCCCTGCTCTTTTGACAGATTACAGTGCTGTGTTGCCCGGTCCTTTTTCAGAGGAAAATCCTGTTCGCCGCACAATGAGCCTGTCTGTGCCTCGTCGAAACAATTACAGGGCCCAACGTAGATCCACCTTCTCCACCCTGTCTAATAACCCGTACAGTGTTCTGGCAGATTTGCCTGAAGATTCGGAGCTGTTGCTGTCATGAGAACAGCAGGAATGTGATTGTGAAACTAAAATCTGTGGTGCTCGTGGCTGGGAGTTTCGGTGGGTTTTATACAAATAGTTGGCATAACAAATATTTACAAAATGCTTGGGACCCTTTGTAACTCGGTGAACTGGCAGCAGCTGGCAGCAAAGGTTTCAGACATCTCGAAACCTTGTATGTAGCAGTGTGCAACATATGGTGATCTGACCTTTTTAGACCCATCTTATAATACCCGTTACACATGGAGTCCTTTTTTTCTCTTCAGGTGAAAAACAATTTATTAATTTAATATTTCAGAATTAATGCATTCATTCTCGAAATTTAAATATTTCATCTGTAGCAATAAGCTTAAAAAGTGTTTCTGGGGTTGTTTGTTTAGTTTTTTGACCGTTCAGCATTATCACAGTTTCAAAAAGTTGTCTGAAGTCAGCGAGTGGTCCACCTGGCTGTCCAATTGCAAGTCACCCTGGATGGTGACCCTCAGGACTCTTGACTCATTGATTCAGATTTCTGGTATTTAAACCATGAAAGCTGTTTTTGCAGTTACTTTATGTAGATTCATTATCATGTTATCAACCTAATGTAAAATTTCTCTTTATGCTGCATTTTTATATGTATTCTGTCTGTTCAGTGCATAATCTTTATTTCAAAAGTCCTGTGCACATTTCACATATGCATTAAACTACTTAGGGATAGATTTAATGGGTGTTTGATTTTTTTACATAGCTTTTTTATTATTTCACGTTGTTCTGTAGTTTTAAAAAGTAAAACTAAACTGAAAACAAGAAAATTTAATGTTTGCATGTTTTTGAAAATTACAGTGCTCTTATTTCACACGCAATTCTAAAACCTTTGAACAGATAGAGCGCCCACTTATGATAATTTGTGGTAATATTTGTTTGTGCAATGTTTAGGTCAATCCAGCACCATTCATTGATTTATACATAAAAATATGAAATGTGCTATAAAAATGAGGTTGTCTTGCATTTTTTTGTAAATAAATAACTTTATATATGAAAACAGACCAACAAACAGCTACACAAATACAATGAACCATTCACACTGTCCCATCTCGTACCCTCCCCAAAAAGTCTTTCAGCAACACATGAAATAAAACAGATTCATTCAGTACAAATACAAGCACGTAGCATGTAATACTAATTTGGACTGTTTACATGCATCATTACATTAGTTTGGGAATGATTTAGAAAAGTGGGAAAAATTAGTCAATCACACTTCAAGTTTTAAAAGAAATAGTTTAAAAAATGATTATTTGCTTTCTTAGAGTTAGATGGGAGGACTGATACCACATTAATCCCTGTTTCCAGACTTTGTGCTAATAAGGCCACTGGCTGTATTGATCTTTTGTCAGTAAGAAAGTGGATCTGAGCAAAAAAACAAAACATCTCCTTTTTATGTATCCTTCAGAAGGTTAATGAGGTTGTGTTTTTGTTGAAAGGCAGACAAAGTGCAACAAAGTGATGAAAGCGCAATACCTGGATAAAACAATGACAACCAGTGAGTGGACAAAGTAACAAACATGTTAACATAATGCAGGACAGTTCAAGAGCCACAGTGCAAAGTCATAAAGTGCAGTCCACTAAAAAAAAATAACAGACACTAACATAAGGACTCTTAACACAGCTTACAGTACTGACAATTAGTCAAAATGCCTGTACAAAAAAAATATTGTTAGTGTAACCCTAGACTCTGTCTGCATAAAGCAGTCTAAATTCTAAACTGGCATTTTAATGTGTAAACGATTGTGTCCAGATACATTTTTCTATCACGTAATGCATATTGTTAATTATTGTTAATTGGCACACAGCAACATTCAAAGTTTTGAGACCTCAATTTTTGATAAACACAGAAGGTGCCTGCACGTAGGTGATGCCTTTGTTAAATAATATCACAAAGAGTAGTGCGGTCTAGACCTGCACTATATGAAAAGTGCAATGAGATAAATTGCCGCTATATGAACAACAAAGAAAGAAAAAAGTAAATCGAAACAGGTGAGTTTTCGATTGTCTCCGCGCATAATGGGAATATCTGGCAAGATCATTTGCAGCACACACAAAAGATCCAGATTTAGAATAAACACAAATGGAGATATCCGTTTCTGCGAAAGAAAGCCTCAAATATGTTGGACAATTTAATTGGGAGTTATAGCAATTAATACTTGCATGCAGTGCAATTTATTTTCATAAATAAGGTGAACAGGAGGAAAAAATATTTAATTTGATGGCGTTTTCAGTGCGTCAGTTGAGCAAATAGGAGTGTATAGTTTCATTTAGCCTTTTCACATGTTCGTTGCCCTATCGAGCCAAACACTGTGTGCCCGCGGGTGGATGTGAGGCTTGTAAAAACACATTATGGAAATATAACACTATTTTATGTCATTTACAGCAAGTCATATTTCTTTCAACTCATCGCCAGCCTCATTAACTGAGTGGACTGTTTGTGTAGCCTAAATAAATGTAAACACAGGCGGAATGCATTTGGTTTACTCTTTTCACACACTTGCCACATTTTGATTGTGATTTATAAAAAGGGAACTTGCTTACAGATGTGCATACACATGGTTTTATAATCTTAATATTTTTTGACGTATGCCATTTTTGGCTTTTGGGCGTATGTACACTTTTAGTGAGGGTTCTGCGCACAGTTTTATACAAGTTCTCTACGTCAGAACCTATTTGGCAAAAGTGTTTTCACTCCCATTTTGCGCATTAGGCCAACTTTTGACAAAGGCAAAACCCACCTCAAGTGAGTGTAAAAACTTTAGCGGATTTAAGGGAGGAGGTTTTTTCGAGTGACACATTTACACACACACACTCATACTTTTTACACACATCCACACACACCCATCCACATCTGGAACCCACAGTGTGTCACCTAATCTCCAGGTTCCTTTCCCATTTTTTGAGACTGTTTTCACATTTGAATATTGGTCCTTGATTCCAGGGTGCTTCCCTGTATTTATCCAGCTTTATTTATAATTCCCTCCTCCTTACTCCTACTAGATACTGCGCAAATTAAATGCAAAAACTACCATGCCCACTAAAATCTTTCCTCACACTGCAATATCTATTAAATGCCTGAGTGTTTTATAGAAGAAATAAATAAATAAACTTCACATCACGGCTTAAGGAAAATGTGGGAGTTACAGGTGTGTACAGTTACTCAGATCACCTCACAAAGATCTTTAGATGGAATAAAAAAACCTCCATCTGTCTTCTGTCAACTGGTTCATAGGCTGCATCTCTCTGTTTCCCATCACTTGCGTCTTTTTCTAGCGTCTTAGTCCCGCCCATCAGGGATGCATGGAGAGATGCAAGGAAACCAAGCGAGAGAGGGGACGAGGAAATATGTTTTTAGAGACATGAGACGTCCTTTCCTCTGAAGCGTCACATGAAGCAAAAAAAGACGTTATTTTCCGCTACCTGCCAACCAATAAGCAAGTGATACACTGTTACTTTGAGTTAGTTACTTTTTGCGTTGCCAAAATGCTGGATTGTTGTTGTGCTTTCCGATTCACTAATTGAGCAGACAAGCCTGGGCTTTGTTAGGTGAGGGTTTCTCCAGAATATAAAAAGTAAAAATTAGAGGCGGCAGGGACCTGGCAGTTTTTAACGGTAGAAATGTGGCAGCGAATGCTGTACGGTTAAATGGATGGGAAATGCCCAACACTTGCAGTTTGTGTTCATATCTGTCTTTGTGTTAAGTTGAAAGGTGATCCAAATAAAATCTGACTGCTTTTCGACGTCTCTACGGGGGAGTCGCGGAGTTGGTCTGTTGTTTTGCCCTCCAGATCACCGCGCATGTCACGTGACCAAAAACTATGAATTGTTGTCTGGGTTTTTCAAGTTGTTCAGTTCCTCTGGTATGTTGTCCTGATTGCTCCCAGTGTTGAGTCTTCTCCCCGCTGCTTTACCTTAAAAACAAAATAATTTGTCAGTGTTGCAATTCATGTTAACTCCTCAACCTCAAATGCCACATGAGGTCAAATTCCTGGTAATAAACCACTAAACAACCGGTAGTGCCCAAACACACCATTTGCTTTAGTTTCTATATAACTAGCCTGTATCATGTGACGAGGATTATGATCAGTCCATTATTCAGGGTCATTAAATGCAGTTTCAGTTTCATAACATCATCATTGCTCAAACTTTGACAAGCGACACAAAGATGTCATTTATGCTTTAAATTGTTTTCTCTCTCTCTCTCTCTCTCTCTCTCTCTTTTTTTAAACCTGTCCTGCCCAGCAGCCTGGTATCCAGTATAAGGAGCTGGAAACCATGGTTTGCCAAACAGATTTTACTTTAACAAGAGAGTATTAATATACTCCTAAGTCTGTTTTATTATTTATTTAAATATGTATTAATTTGTCACTGGGCCAGAAAGGGGGGCAGACATGGGGATGAGGGGCACAAACACCACACAAACAGACAGCACAGAGAAAGAATAACACCTGCAAGAGAATGGAGATGGGGGTTTGGGGTAGAGAAAAACAGACAAACAAACAAAAAAAGACCCTGAAAAACAAAGAGACAACCAGCCGAACAGCAGCAATAAACAGCTGACATAACAAAACAATTGAGGGAGAAATGAAAAGGAGAAACAGTCAAGCAAAATAAACAAACATAACACAGTCATGAGAGCTGGGATAATAACAATTAATTTCATTAAGTAACTTAATGAACTGCATAAAGAATAATGAAAAATTGAGTGTTTTCTAACTGTAGGATCCAGACGTTTCATAGAGGAAACTGTGTCTGTCTGTTGACATACTCTAGTCTGCAGTGTAGCTCAGACACTTCACTTATAAACCAAAAAGGTGCAGAGTAACATTTGGCTTCATGATCAGAGTCCATATCCCCCTCTCTGCAGTGAGTCTGCTATTCAATCAGTCACTTGATAGTTTATAATGCGCCATTCATCCAACCGTTAAATTAGCAATGCGGTAGGTACAAGCACACCTGGCTTTTTAAGGGAATTGGGAGATGACACTCTGATTGGTTTATTGCATTTAACTCCCAAAACACACCCATGAATTCACAGTACAACCATTTTGAACCATTCTGACCATTTTTTTCCTCAACATTAAATTAGCAAAATTGGAGATGGACACGCCCAAATGCAACTGCACCACGCGCTTCACGCAGTGCGCTTTGATCGTTAAAATAGGGCCCTTACAATTTTATTTGTTTCTTTTTACTTACGGCTGCTTGTTGTCTCTTTGTGTTGATCTATGTGTGTTGATTTTTTTTGCCTCTGACATATAACTACGTTGTCTCTGTGTTTTTGAGTCGTGTACAGACAATAAGGATGCCTGAATCTGAAAAAGACTGCAGTGAATGAATGAGACAGTCCAGAACTGGGCTAAAAGAGGACTCAGCTATGATTCAAGGAGTAACGGCAAGAAACATCCCGATAACAGTACAGTACTATAAAAGTATCCAAGAAACTTCATGATCAACATTTACAGCATTATTTAAAAAAAAAACTGCAATCAACAAATGAAGAAAAGTAAGAGACTTACTTGTATTTCGACATCTTCTTCCTTCTTACTATTATGATGATCCCAAAGATGATGACAACACCACCAACAATAACACCACTGCCAATGGCAACATTGTGACCTAGAAGAGAAATATGTCAAAATTTGTGGTTTACTGCAAATCATAAAATCAATCTTTTTCACCACTTGTGTACCTTGCATTTGTAGTATTAAGCCCTGGTTTATATGTAAAACTCATGATATTTACTCACTTGAAGCCTCTTTCACAATATCTTTATCTTCTGGGACTGATGCAGAGGCTGTCAGAAATTGAAACAAATGTTAGTTTTACAATTTTGAGTAAAGGAAGATATTTAATGTGCTAAACTTGGCTATATAACTTGATTTTTAATCCAGAAACTCACAACCCACAACTGTTTGGTTAGTTCTTTAAAAAAATAACATACTGGGATCAACTTTCGCCTTTGGTGTGTATTTTTTGTTTTGTCCTAAAAAATTAAAAGAAGTGTTCAACTGCACAATAAGAATACATTTACAATACAACTGAATCCCGTTTTGAGAAAAATACTCATACAACATTTGCCTGTTCAGTTTCTCAATGTGTGTGAAAGTGCTATAATATTATTGATGGCTACATTGCAAAGCTTTGTTCTTTAGATAAAAAGACACATTTAAAGTGTACATGGTCTTTCACTGAAGTTCTGACACAAAGTTCAGAGTACTCGTCAGGATCAGTACTACTCAGCCTTTGAAAACAGCTGCACAATATATTTTGCGGCCCTGAAGGGAGCTTTTTAAAGCTAATAAATGATGTCATCACGGTTATCCAGAAAAAAGAAAGAAGCAGGCATTTGGAAGGCAAGGTAAGTTTAATGAATGATGCTTGTTTCTGAGATGCATTATGGGAAATGTAGTATACAGTGTTTTGCAGCTTGACCCACAAAAGCACCCGGCTATCTCAGAATGAATTTTTCAAATACTGTCTCAATTACAATAATTATTTTTAAACATCTGTCTCCCATAAGTGTCCTAACTTTATGAAAGTAACAAACTACATCGCTGAACTAACTTTACAGAACTTACCAACAATGAGGACAGCGTATCCTTTGTTGACCTTACTCCCTAGTTTGGGAATGAAGCATGTGTAATTTCCTGCATCCGATTTGTTTACTGAGAAGAGTTGTAGTGAGATGTTTCCTTTGCGCATTTCATTGTGAAAAAGAGATGTCCTGCCCTTGAAGTTATCGTGCTGAAGGTTGGGATCATCCCTCCTATTCCGGTAAACGTGCACCAGTGTTTTATTGAGTGTCCACTCTACTGTACGGGTCCTCGCATCAAGAGGGGGTCTCAAGCAACACTGAAGGATGACGTCCTGGCCGACTGATGCTTTAACTGGCTGATCTGAGCCCATCAGTTTAGGTTCTCCTAGGAAAACATGTGAAAGCATCATAGAACACATTGAGTTTGTAAAAGCTGGTTGAAATTAGAAAGATATATCATATCCACCTTCAACATAATAATAACAACAACAACAATTTAAAATAACAAAATAAAAATGTATTCTTTCCTTTCTAAGTTTTGGATCAGTTCCTTCCTTTTTTCCTCATGACAGTGTACCATGATGTGTTCGACTGTCTCTTGTTGCCCACAGTATTCACAACTGCCTGTGTAATGTTAGCCTATTCTGAATAAAGTGCTTTTTAATCCAGTGTGCCCATATTAAGACAATTAATTCATAAGTCTTGAATTAATTGTCTCTTCTCTTCTATTCCTTCTTGCACTTCTTATTTCTCACACCTTCAACATGTACATAATGATAATAAGAGGGCTTAAAGCAAGAAAGTTTTCTGTGCCTGAAATGTGTTGAAGGTTATGTGTGATGGAGGGTAGGGCGCAAGAGCGTTAATTTGTTTTGAAATGTGGTGGGGACATGGAGGCTCAGATTAAAGGTGTGACATACACTTAGCTCATGAGACATGAGGAAACACAATACTGATATCTTTTATTGCCCAGCGTTGGCTTGTGTTTCGGGCTAGGGCTAATGATAGTGTATTCATTATTATATCAGAAAATAGTATCGGTACTGTACTATAGCCTATAGTTTATCACTATAGTAATATTAATTCTAGTTGGACAGCAGTATCATCTCTGTGGGATTTTTTCATTTATTAAATCCTTGTGTTAGAAAAATGCTCTACGTTGTGGTCAATCTCTAATTAGTTAATGTTAATTACTAACTCGTCAATAATCATTAATGAAAAACAACAAGTTCAACATTTCAAAAGTTTGCAGTAGCGCGTCAAACTTTTTTAATATCCCGCCCAATCCTGTGATTTGTCGGTTCCAAACCATCCAAAGTGTACTCTCAGTGGCAGGGTAAGAACACAAGATCAGATCCAGGTTGAACAGTACTGGAAGAACATATGGGAGAAAGAGGCATCCCACAACACCAATGCCCAGTGGCTAGTGGATCTAAGAAAAGATCACAGCAATCTCCCAGTACAAGAACCAGTAACCATTACAACGGCAGACATCCAAGAAAGATGGCAGGTATGAAGAGCTGGACAGCACCAGGCCCTGACATGATCCACACCTACTGGCTGAAGAAACTAACTGCACTCCATGAACGCCTGGCAGCACAAATGAACCAACTGCTAATGGATGGGACCCACCCAGAATGGTTAACCCAAGGATGGAAAATCCTGATCATGAAGGACCCCCAGAAGGGAACAATCCCATCCAACTACCAGCCAATAACCTGCCTCTGCACAACATGAAGCTCCTGTCAGGCATCATAGCGGCTAAGATGAGTAGGCACATGGCTCAATACATGGACAGGGCCCAGAAGGGAATGGGTAGTAATACCAGGGGAGCCAAGCACCAGCTACTGGTTGATAGAGCGCATATATATATATATATATATATATATATATATATATATATATATATATATATATATATTAATGAAATGTATGGGGTTGATTGGTTGATTATGTAGTATGTATGATGCTTTGGCAATATTGTTGTTACACATTCATGCCAGTAAAGCTCATTTGAATTGAATATAATTGAGAGCAATGAACGTTAGCTAGCATAACTGCATTAACATAGGCGGCAAGATGGCGAACCAGGCAGGCTGCATATTGTAAGCTCTTGCTCAATTGCCCCGAAATGTACTTAAAAAACTGTAAACACTCGAACAAATTTAAAATAGTAAGGTGGACTTTTGGAAAGTGAAGTAGAAGTTGAGCCCTCGAATAACTTTTGACCGAACATGCCGAGCGAGAAAGCGGGTGCTAGCCTAACTGCAGCCTCGAGCCTAACAAACATGAGTGACCACGACTACACGCAGATGGAAACTTTGAAGGGTCGATGGATCCCTAAAGTGGTTTAACGAGTAACTTCTATAGACACTTCCGGGAACATCTGAAAGACCTTTGTTTCAACATGTTAAAAGACGTTTCTGAAACCCTAACTCTACCAATCACAATGAAGCAAGGAATCTTCACCCTCATACTCAAACCTGGTAAAGACCCCAAATGAATTGACAGTCCTAGACCCATAACCTTATTTAACAGTGACTATAAAATCTTAACTCATATCTACACAAACTAAAAACTGGTATCACTCAAATTATTTCAGACACATTGGGATTCATAAAAATGTTTTGTGTTCTAGAACAATTTGGTTTTTGTGAAAGTTTTCAAAATATATTTAAATTACTGTATAAAGATACTAATAGTACAGTGTTTTTACCACAAGGTGCATCTCCAAGGTTTTCTATTGATAAAGGCATTAAACAAGGCTGCCCCATCTCCCCTTTGCTCGTCATTGCTGCAGCAGAAATGCTTTCCATACTTGTTAAACATTCAGACTTTGAAAAATTGACAGTGTTGGGCAAACAACTAACTATCAGCCAACTGGCTGTTGACACAACTATATTTATGAAAAACTGTGACCAAATCCCTAAGGTTCTTCATACAGTTGATTTCTTCTCGAGAGCATCTGGCTTAAAATTAAACCTTAATAAATGTGAGGTTTTTCTGATTCACAATTCCACCCTTACATCAGTTCATAATATCCCTGTAAAATCAGCTGTTAAATACCTAGGGATGCAAATTACTAAAGGATAAGGACTCACTCGATAATCTTAATAGTTGGAATAATCTGGATAAATGCAAATCTTATCTAAATTCCTGGTCTCAAAGAGACATCTCCATCATAGGCAGAATTTTTCTAACATTTTTCTACTCCTTATCGCTTCCTAAAAATGCAGTAAAAGCCATAAACCAAGCTATTTTCAATTATATTTGGAAAAGGAAAACTCACTACATTAAGAAAGGCACTATGGTTTAAGAATATGAGGTTACTGAGGAGAGTACTCGAGACCGGTCTTGGTCTTGAGACCGGTCTTAAAACTACTTTTTGATGGACACATTTGTACTCGATCTTGTCTTGGTCTCGCACATAGAGGACTCGGGATTTTATTTCAAGACCAGTCAAGACCATAACTTTGGGAATATCAATAAACTGCTTTTGCCGTTAACAACTCCTTCCCATGGTAAGTATGGAAAAGGAGTGTTGAATAAAGATGGTTAAGTTGATTTCAGCGCTTAGTGTTTGTATGTGGGTGTTTTAATAGGAATGTGAATCTTTCAGATCAATTTGAGAAGTGCCTATGATCTCGTTCCACATTTTATTGTGTGTCATGTAATGTTGGGAACTGGTCTTGGTCTTGACTTAGTCTCGCCCTCCCTCGGCCTTGGTCTCGACTGCTCTCAGCCCCTAAAAGTCTTGGTCTTGTCTCGGTCTCGATAAACTCTGGTCTTGACTTGGTCTCGGTTTTGGCGGTCTTGACCACAACACTAGAAGGCGGACTTAAGGCTATTGACGGTACTATTAAGACAAACTGTTTATGGTCATTTTTAATTCATAAAAAAGAATTTTGGTTTCATATTCCAAGTGAAATTTTTATGAAGTTAGGAGGCATTGATTTCCTTCTTCGATGTGACTTGACCTAAAAAAGGTCCCTGTCAATTTATCCTTGTTTCATCAACAAGTTTTACTGTATTGGAGAATGATATACAAACATCATTTTACTCCTCACAACACCCCATATGGAAGTGCAGGTATGTGTTACTTGAAAATAAATACATATTTTTCCCCACTTACTAGAAAAAGGAATATGGTCTGTGATGGAGAATACAGAAAACCTTCATTTGAGGACTTTGGTTCCAAATTTCAGCTTTTCGACAGAGGCCAGTACGCCAATGTTGTCAAGGCAATTCCTCAAGCTGGAATTGTGACAGTATATAATTTTTCTAAAAATAGTGTGAAACCTATCATCTCCCTTCGCTTTTGGTGAATGATCACAATTTCATTAATATAAAATTACCTAACCTCATTTTTCGGCAAACATTTGCCATTTGAATTATATCCGCTTTCTTTCCACAGAAATTCCATTTTTATAATTTGCTTAATGCTTTTGAATGCTATGAAGCTCTCTAAGTTAGTTGATGACCTTAAGCATACAGAAAATCTCTAACTATCTTACTTTACTCCTACAGTAAGTAGGAGTTTACTCCTACATTACACCCCCCCTTTCTTTTATTTATTTATGGGTTTATTTATTTATTTTAAAAAAAAGATATATTTATTTATTTATTTTAATGTATGTGACCTTCTGGTCTTGTCTGTTCCCTTGTTAATTATGCACTGGTGTGTACTATGCCACTTTGTATGTAAATTTTGTCATTAATACAAAAACCGACGAATATTGTGTGGGATGAGAGATGTAGTTCATTGAATGGGTTTCACACAAAACTAAACGTAACTTTACTGTTTTAAGACAAACTGTGACTGTCTTGACTTACAAAATTATATTTTGAATTGACCAATATCATTTGTGTAATTCGGAGCTCAATTATAATGGGATAAAAGAATTGGAAACTAAATGCAAAAAAGCTATTAATTTTACTGTGAGCAGTCGCTGGGTGTCACTGGGGTGCAGATAAACAGTCACTAATTGACATATATAGAGCATGCATGAGGTCAACAATAGATTATAGTTGCATAGTATATGATGCAGCAGCAAAAACATCATTGGAAAAACTAAATTACAATACAGAGCTTTACGAATATGCATTGGAGCCTTTAAGACAACTCCCATTAACACAATACTCATAGAAGCAGGACAGACACCACTGGAGTTAACCAACGAAGGTTAAAATCAAGGGCAAATGGACTTGGTCGAAGATACTGGAAGACATTTCGTCCCTCATCCGAAGGACTTCTTCAGTTCTGACTGACTGGCAGGGAAACTCAGCTATTTAACCTCAGTGGGGTCGTTATCCCGGGTCATCGATACCACTGGTTCGTTAGTGTTCCTTGTTGCTGTGACGACAGTCGTTACAGTCGTTAAGACTACCGGTGGCCAAGACTGAACGACCATCGTTGGTATCTTCACCTGAGGCCAATAGGTTACGTTTGTTGAGTGATTTTAACCTTCGTTGGATAACTATGACCTGGATGACTGAGAATCTTCATAGACACTGGAGTTAAGAAGAGAGAAACTAGCGTTAGCATAATCAATCAGATTGAAAGGAAATGGGAAAGAAAACCCTGCAAAGGAGATAACAAAGGATTGTTGGAAGTATTTCAAGTTTCGAGGGCATGGGTTTGGAAGGACGGGGGGAAAAGAGAGTCAGGGAATATGGAATGGAAGCAGTAGATTTCACTACAACAAACCCAGTCAGTAACAATCCACCTTGGCTCTATCCAGACGTAAAAACAGATTTTAGTATACTGGAAAAGAAAAGAGGATGGGGAACAGAGGAAGTGGGAATACGGACTATCAGCTTCCATAATTATCTAAAAATCTATACAGATGAATCTAAAAACAAACAGGAATGTGTGGGAATTGTAATACATGTAACAGAATTCAATATAAATATCTCAAAACGATTATCAGATAGGCTATCCGTACATACAGCAGAAATAGTGGTCAGTGGTCAATAGTAGTCATTATAGCATTACAGAGTTTTGAAGAGGTCAGACCTACTAGGCTGATATTATGCACAGACTCCTTAGCAGTTATTAAAAGCATTCAGTCACTGACATCTGTCAGAGAAGACCTACTGAAATGTTTCACAGCTTATTAAGATTACATCAGGGAGGGATAGATGTTCAGTTTTGTTGGGTGCCAGCTCATGAGGGAGTAAATGGAAATGAGATTGCAGACAAACTAGCAAGAGAGGCATTACAAAAGAAGAGTTCAAATACCACTAGGAAAAGGAGAAGGCAAAAGCAGTCATTAAAAAGAAAGATATTGAAATGTGGCAGAAATGGTGGGAGGAAGACAGGAAAGGAAGGAGTTAATATAAAATACAAAAGTCTGTCAGACTCAGTAATAAAAATTATAGGGAAGGGACAAGGCAGGAGGAAATCATAATGACAAGAGGGAGAGTAGATCCCACAGGACTGAATGGCACCTTATTTTTATTGGAGAAAAGGAATAGTGAAAAGTGTGAAAACTGTGGGGTTAAAGAAAATGTTGAACATGTCATTTTTCACTGCATATTGTTTGAGTTGTTAAGACAGATATTTCAAGATAGGGTTCAGGAGGCAGGGCGGGAATGGAATCTGATGGAGGTATTGGGAACAGGAGAAAAAAAGGGCATAAGAATCACCAGGAAGACATTATTTAAATTTCTTAAAGACAATGGGTCGAGTAGAGTCGCGGCGAGTTGTGCTGGCCTACACTATGCCTATAGCATTATCCATCACCTCCAGCCACTCACCTTGTACGCTCAGAACAACACACAGCGCAAGGCCAGTGAGCAACTTCACCAACATCGCTTTCCCATGCAGTGCTCAGTTGGAAGAAATAAAAAAGTATCCTTAAAATAAAATAAAAAACTTTACGGAACTTTAGTCACGTGTTACGTTGTCGATGAATAGCTGCACCAAGTCCAAAACCCCGAACGATCTTGGCAGTGACGTGGAAGTTTCCTGGTCTTCTACTTGTTCTTTTTGTTTTGTGGCAGATTGCAACCATGACTTTTGAAGGTGCATACCGCCACATAGTGTATCGGAGTACGTAGCATGAACTATGTTCGTTGGGACTACTTTATATCATCAAAAAAATAAAATAGTAGAGAAGAAATTTACCGACTTTGCCAACGGTAAATATAAATAATCATTAAATCATGCCATACTACATTTAAAAACATTTCTATTGAAATGAGCGACACAATGTCAACTTACCTCCATCTTCCTGTACAAGTTACTACGCTGAGTGCAGGGCCGTTAAATAAGATTTATTATATGGATCATTTAATGGCCCTGGTCAAACCCACCAATACAATCTCTTATTTGGACAATTTTTTACTTGCAAAACTATTTAACTTGCAAAACTTATTAACTTGCAAAACTGTCTGACTCACAAGGAAAACATTTTTGATTGCAATCAAATAATATGACATAATAGCAATTAAAACATTTTGTGACACAAAACAGGCCTGTTTATTTTTAATTACAAACTTGATTTTTGATTGCAGTGCGATAAATATTCTCTCAAAACATTTGTTTTTGCTTGCATTAAAAAGACACAAAAATAGGCTATATTCATAGCTGGCACACAACAAAATGGTGCATTACCGCCACCAACTGGTATGGAGTGTGCAATCAGAATGACTATTACTAATTATTTTAAGCCAAACAAACAAAACTGTCTGTCTTACTCTATCTTACTGATGCTAACTGCCACATCGATGTATTTTCTTTTTGTGACCTCCTTTGCAGCCTTATCTGCCATTTTGTTACCTTTGATGCCAGTATGTGCTGGTACCTACACAAATGTGACTGCAGTGCCCATAATTTGAACTCTATATGTTTGCTGTATTTCTATCAAAATATCTGGTCTGCTGTCTGAATGACTGCTCTGTAAACTGATTAGTGATGAACTTCAATCTGAACAAATAATCACTCTTAATGTTCTTCTTAGATTTCTAGGTCTAGCTTGAAGGCTCGTGGTCCAGATAAAGACTGGTGATAGAGATCTCATTTCGACTCCTGATCGCCGGCGTAGATCTCTTCTCTGTCATGTTGATATACTAAAATCTTACGGTGACAGGGAACCAGTGCAGCTCACACAACCCTGGGCTGAGTTCCCCTCCGACAAAACGTATTGAGATTAAACTCGCCCCAGCTGTAAAGTAAACTCCTTTGACCTGCGCTGTTAAGCCAATCAGATTTCAGAATCAGAATCTGCTTTATTGCAGGTATGTGTACACATACGAGGAATTTGACTCAGGATTGTACATTGCTCATGATGTGGTTACTCATACAAAAATACAATAACACAATAATAAAATAAAATCAGACACAAACTACAGAATAGACAACACTAACATACACACTATGAACAAAACAATATAGACAGATTGACAAATAGTGCAGTGATCAGAGAGCAAAGGATGCAAGAGTAAATTATTATTCTCATTATGTACATGTTGAAGGTAGATATGATATACAGGTACATGCATACATGTACACATGTGCACAGTGTGATGGAACATAGTGCAAAGGATGCTGGAAAAAATGACCTATGACCTTATGACCTGAGGTAGGTGTCTTGGTATACAGTATATACAACATGACATAGTATGAACAGCACTGAAATAGAGAATGGTGAATAAATAAATAATAAGTGGAAACCAGTAAACAGGTGCTGATTAGAGGCAGATTGCAAAAATGAGGATCGTTTCAAGTTAGGAGGTGTTATAGCCGCTGGTTTGGCCGCTAGTAAAATTTACTTTAAAGCATGGGGCACTTTCTGTCGGCTTGGAGGCATTGTGAGGCTGCCCAGCCGACCAAGTCCCAGTACTTATGGTCCGCCTCGCCCCGACGTGTAGTTAAATTTTTAAGGAAGTGCATGTCAGGCTACAGCGTAGGCGATAGCGTAGTGTACAGTATAGGCGTGAGCGTAAGGTACGGGCTTCTGCCGAGGCCACGCTGTCGATTTGACGCAGAAGTATAAATTGCACTTTAGGTGCGGACCCAAATGCAGACAATACGCAAGGAAGGTGCAGTTCAAAATATTTATTGACTCAAAAAACAAACTGAAACAAGCTGTGGGATCACAAGGTAAAGTCCAAAACTGAGGAAATCCAAAAAGCAAAAATAATCCAGAGCACAGGCAGAGTACTCCAAAGACAACAGCAGAACAGAACACACAAGCAGGCAGGGCGATTAAATACAGCTGAAACACATGAGCGATCAAACAACAGGAAACAAAGCTGGACAGCTAGACAGAGACAGGACCAAACAGGAAATAGGACTACACTAACATGGAGACATAGGACTAAGACACAGACACAAGAAGAGAACAGACAGGGCACAGTGATTACAAGGGGAGCAGACAGAAACTAACTACAACCGTGAAACAGACTAATGTAAAACAGAACACAAGGTAGACAAGACCAAAATAATAAAACACAGAAATACACAGACCAGGAATAACACTAAACATGAATTAAAAGCACAGAACTAAGAACTAAGGCTACAACGAAAAACACAAAACCATAAACCATAAAACCAGGAAAACAACAGTACAAAACCAAATTCCTAACACTTCCATTTCTTTTGTTTGTTTTGGCAAGCCCATCAGACCTGTTATTTTGTTTGAGTTTAGGGTTAATTTTTGACTTCTTTCTCGGTTCGTTTAATAAACATATGGTTTTTGGTACAGTTCCTTGACTCAGTTGATCATGTTTGACCACCTTTGATGCTCCTTGTCCACTAAGAGATTCAGGCTCTCCTCTTGTCTGGCTCTCTCTGTTCCTCTGTGTTTGTCTGTTCCTTTTTCCTACCTGTGAGTTTGCCTCTTGTTTGTTGGTGTAATCTTTCCTGCTCCAGATCAATTCTTACTACAGTTATACTTTTGACATGGTGATTATCCATTTTGTTGATCTATTCTGTACACACAAAATCTTTTGCATGTCTGCCCATCGAGGAAGAGGCTACTTCATTTCCTGTGTGCTCAGCATGAAGCAGATGGCAGGTGTGAATCTGTGTGGGTGTAGAGAGCACAAGATGTTTTCGTGGTGAGATGTTTACTTCTATACATTGAAGTATGTGGAGGTGAGATGTATTTTAGAAAGTCTTACCTTGGTACCTAAGTAGAGAATTGTGAGCTAACTTTAACACATATCAGCTATTGAGACTTAAATCAACGGTGACAACAAGCATACAGTGAAGCGTTAACTTTTTAAAGAATTGTTCTGTACTTTGTTACTGTGATGTGTTCACAGCCTGGGTCCATTCTTTTATAAAGGTTTTAAACAATGAGCTTAAGTTATTAAGATGTATAAATGTAAAGTCAATGTAGCTTAAAGTGGGATCAGTGAAACTGCACCTGTGTGTCCATTCAGAAAATAATACATAGTAAATTAATAAATTAAGATAGATAATAAAGTAACTGAGGAAGCTGGTTTGAAAAGTAGAGATACCCCTGGAACAATAGTTGGAACATTCTGACATTTAAAAAAAAGTGACACAAATGTAATGACGACGGTTTGAAACTTTTTCCATTATAAACACAGTATTTTCCCTTAACTGACACACAGTGACATTAAACCTCTGCAAATAAGGTCTGCAGCAGTTCAAAGTTAAGTCTCAGATAAACAGTGACGTTTAGTGGCTTTAACTGATTTCCACGAGACACAGCGATAGTGTTCATTCTTAACCACAGGCAAAGGGTTTTCTGTTGTTTTTAGTTTTTTTTGATTATTTCCGTTGGTCAGGATGTGGGCTGACTGCTAGCTCAAACTTTCTAAATACCCCAGAAGAAGACGACAAGCAACTTGAAGACAGGATGGAGATGACCTCGCTCTGCCTAATGCTCTGTGAGAAATTACATTTTTTAAAACATTACTTTCTCACTGTTCTCTCTTGCAGCCTTTAAATATATATAAATATATATGTTTTCTTTCAAATATAATTGTGATTCAGCTGTGATTTGAAGAACAGGATGCAATCAACTCTGCCGATCAGTCAAATCATGGCGGATTTTGGCGGAGGTTTTGAAAATGTACATTTTAAAAATCATAGTTTGCAGATAGTTTCCTCCATTGCACTGTTGTTGTAGTAAAGGTGTGTTGATCAGCTCTGTATCTAGCTTACAGAGTTTTTATTCCTACGTTGGGATTTGCAGCAAGGGTTCTTTTATTTCAATTTCACTTGCGTTCAAACCAACTTCCAGTAGTTAAAAATTAATTCATGTTGTAATGATTTGCCCTTGGAAACAGTTTAAAAGGGTTAAATTAAGGTCAAGTCTGGATTCTAGAGGTAATGATGTAGCTGCAACTGTTGTTAACAGGGTTGCTGGTAAATCAGATTACCAGTCGCTTAAAATAAAATTATAACATAATTTAGTTTAGCTTTTTTGGGAACAGTAAGTGTGACAAAACAATTGAAACCCAAAGGTCCACCTGCTGGTTAGCTTTTTGGAGCTTTCAACCTTTATCACACTTATTGTGTAACCAGAATGCAAACTTAGTTCATGTGATGAAAATTTCTTTGAACTAAATTTCCATTGTCACTGTATGCGCTCTTACTACTATTTATTGCCGCTCTTACTAGTGCCTTGTGTTACTCGTAGATCTCTTACTTTGTTGATGCTTGTATGTTGTTCTTCCAATATAAGTCACTTTGGATAAAAGCTTAAGTTAACGCTGTGTTGTGTCCCACAGTGTGATACAGTGACATCTGCAACAAAGAAAAGCCAAAAACCTCAAAGAGCTACACTATATGATCCTTTCCTATATTTTTCAGCCACACTGACCATCCACCCCAACAGATCTCAGTTCTTCTGGTATGACTCTGTCAATTTGACCTGTACGGTGGCGGGAAACTCCAGTGGCTGGAGATTCAAGAGAAACACCTCCTCTCTGACTTCTGAGCTGTGCTCCGGCTGGGGAATGCAACGTGAGTCCCACTGTACCATTCAGGATGCCTATCCATCAGACACAGGAGTGTACTGGTGCGAGTCTGAGCGGGGGGAGTGCAGCAACACCGTCAACATCACTATCGCTGGTAACTCCAAGTGTGCATGGAGCTTTTATGCATTTAAATTTGAGGGTGACATTATGATGTGCAGGTCTGATGGGGACCAGAAATGGTTCATTTGTTATTCACTGGAACAATTTGAAGATTAAAGTAGAAGTCGTAGGACCAACGACACCACTGTTTGTTTTCAGATGGTCCTGTGATCCTGCAGAGCCCTGCACTTCCTGTGACAGCAGGCGATAGAGTAACGCTTCTCTGTTCCTGCAAAGAAGAAAACGGCCAAAAACCCAGATCTGATTTCTCTGCAAAGTTCTACAAAGATGGTGTTTTCATTGGGACTGAAGCTGCAGGAAGTATGACCTTCGCGACGGTGTCCATGTCTGACGAGGGTTTCTATAAGTGTGAACACCCGACGAAAGGAGAGTCACCACAGAGCTGGCTGGCTGTTAAAGGTGACGATGATGTTCTGTGCTATTGCATGATGTCTGTTTGTGGAGGTTAGTTTTAGCATTTCAATGCTTTCTGTATTCTATAGTACCTGAAATTTACTTTTTGAAGTAAATTGTTCTTGATATGGCAGCAAATGTTTTACCTTAAAGTTGTTTCAAATCAGGAGGCAGCCTTCAACCACGAAGGGACTCGAACCCTCAATCTTCTGATCCGAAGTCAGACGCCTTATCCATTAGGCCACGTGGTCACATGCAAGCGTCAGTCCCTGCAATGCAAGTCATGTGCATTATAATGTTACACACATGGTTTATATTTGATGATGGGATACACATGAATGTATTGATTGCTTATGTCAACAGGCAGATAACAAATCTTTTGCTTATGTCACAACAGCTGTAGACGCATTCACTGGACCTTAGAATAATAATAAACACATAAGCTTAGCATTGTAAACAACACGCTCAAACCATGTGAGCTAACTGGTCTGCTTTTGAGGTTTCTTTTAACAAAGTTTCTTTCAGAAGAAACTTGGATTGCTTTTGGATGTTAAGTTAGGTGCGATCCACTCCCAGCTCGATGTCACTGGAGAGAAAAAAGCTTATGCTATGTATATAACCTGTCATACTGCAACAGCTGGACAGCATGGGGGTCGAACCCATGATCTCCTCATTATCAACAGCACACGCCAACTTTCTGAGCTAAACTGCTGTCTTCTGCACTGATCCTCAGACAGAAACCAATGTGCTTGTAGTTGGTGCACCTTGGAAATGAGTCTGGGACAAGAAAAGAGCAAGTAGGCCTTTTCAGTGGTAAGTGAAACTCGGGTAGGGAAGGAGAGAGGCAGCGAACACACAATCGCCTTTTGGGGAATGAAATGGAGATGGAGTGACAGTAAGAAGCACCAAAGACAAACAAAATATATCCAAACCAGAGTGAGTGTGACAGAGCAGGAGGTCTAGCAGCTCTGAGTGCAGCAGGTGGACATGGTGTGGATATCTGAAAATACGAGTTAAGTTGATATTACATATATTAAAATGTCAAGTTTGTTTTGTTTAAAGTTAATCAGCACACAAACAACAACGCCCTGCCATCTATTTGCTCAGACCAAGGACAATTAATTTTTTTTTTTTCTAAGAATCTGTTTTTAGTTCATTTATTATTAGTTTAGTTATTTTAGTCAGCTGTGTTGCTCACGTTTTAATATTTGATGTTACTGATAATTCTGTAGATTCCAAGTTAATTCATATTTTCTCAGCCACAGCCTTCCTTGCCAACCATCAGATATGTCTGAGGAATATGCTGGTTTTGGCAAGTCAGATGCTGTCTAGTGAAGTTTTCAGGCTAAAACCTGGTGACAGTTTTATTTGCTGTGTTTAATGCTTTTCTGTTTTCTGCCGTGCACGTGTTCACCACTGAAGGAGAGCTGGAAGTATTCTTGGGAAATATCTTCTTTTCTCCTTTTCAAGAACCTGTTGCTCTACAGCTCTATTAGCTAATAAAAAGTATGTAAAAACCAGAGATTAAAATCACTCTTTAAGTACAAACTTCCCATAAGAGCCATGTGTGATGTGAAGAGTGAAATCACACAATTTCTTTTTTAATTAATTAATTTCTTTCATATTTAAAAACAGCTATGAACATTCTGGCATAAAAATAATTCGCAGATAATTTCATCAAAGAATTCAAATGTGTGGTCCTTTAGTTGTAGATATTTTAATTAGAGGTTCTTCTTTGCTGGTGCTGCGAGGTTGTGCAAAAAGGCCTGCTGTTTTTTGACTCAGACATCAAACAGTTGGCAGTCTGTGGTACTACAGTTCTTAAAAACTTGGATGAAAACAGAACTGGTCTTTCTTGAATTATATATTTAACCAGTTGTTTTTCCTTCCTCGCAGTCGGAGCTGAGCCTCCTCCTCTTGTGTCTGTGCCGAGGCTGGTGTGTACCATCTTGCTGATTGTCGTCTACTCTCTCATGCTTATAGTTTGTGTGAATGTGCACAGAACTTGGGCTCAAGGTAGGAACGCCACTGGAAATCATAAAAGTTCAAATAAATGGAACTTTAATCAAAACTTTAATTAAAACGTCTGTGTTAACAGCTCCATTTTTATTTGATATATGTTACCAAGAGAAGGAACTTCTATATATATATCCCAATAGTCTTTTGCTGGTAGGGATTCGGTTTCTTGCTCAAGGACACTTCAGCAGGTGAATGCCAGTTGCCAGAGAAAGCTCTCACTAAAGTAGTTTTACAAGAATCTTTAAATAAAAAGTCCTTTACTGGATAGTCGAACCTGATGGATGGAAGTGTGGAAAAAGTTCTTAATGGTCCTGCTTGATCTTTTCTTAATAAATAAATTAGGAAGACGGGTATTTTTAAACAGCTGCTTACATCTTTTTGTGTTCAAACTTTGCTTTTTGCCAGGTATGTTGTAAAGTCACACAGTTCAGTGTGTTCAATCCATGAACAAAGGACCATGTTAAACATTCACTTAACACTGACGCCCCCAACCTGTTCATTAAGGTAACCTGTGTATTACAGCACACTGAGGCGGCTGACAGGTGTGGAAAGGCTGGGACTCGGTTAACAAATCAAGCAACAACCAACCAAAATGCATGACTCTGTAAAGGTTTTTATAAAAATGACAAAATTTCACATATTACTTTAAACTTCATTATACTACGGTCCAAACATTGTGCTCCTTCTGATACAGATAAGCCACGCTTCGACTGATATTTGACCATTATTTATTTGTTCCTTTTCACAAATATCTTCTTTTGACCAGCAAATACCATGAAAAACTGAAATAAAATAATTACAATATATTAAATTCAGTATGAAATATAATAAAAAATATATAATCAGTTCATTATACAATAAACACATAGCCTACTGTCTGCGCCTTCTGCACAGAAATGTAGGATCTGTTACAATCCTCTAATGTCGCAATATAGTCTTCTGCTCTCTTTTCTTCTTTTTTTTTTAGCTTCTTATAGCAGCTTTACAATCAGTTATTCTTAACTGATCATATGAGCCCAGCATGCGCTTCAGTTAGTGTAATTCACAAGTTTAACAGTAGGTGTCACTATTACTCAAGTAAAACCAAATTACAAAAACATAATTCTGAACATAATTACATAGTAAGCAAGTACCCTTTACTGGACAGCTACAGCCATGTATTATGCATGTAATCTCTTAACGTTATTAAGTCCCCCAAATAACCAAAGATTTTAACAAAGGACGTGACATTGATGTCCTCAATTTTATATTAAATCCTGGATATCTGGATTTTAATTCTTTGAGAAACGAGTTTATCATTAGTTTCAGTGATGATCTCTCTAAAAGGCTCTCTGTGTTCTTCTTCCTGCAGCTCGGGCTGAAGCAAAGAAAAGGGCTTCTGATCGTCTTTCATCAGAGCGATGAGTCTTATTTCCTGCTGAGTTGAAAAAGAACAAGAGCAACTACTTTGCATGGGGTCACTTTGAATTTTATGTTTATATATTCAACAAGATTGTATTTTATATATCTTATTTTTTTATTTCTCACTGGCAGACAAAGACAGAGAAGCTGAAAATATTGGAGCTGACGCATATTTCAGCTCGTAAAAAACATTTACAAGCAATTTGCAAATTTGAACTTGTCAAATCTCAACCATCTGTCCCACGCTACTTAGTGGACCTTTTCCATCTAAACCATCAGAGAAAATGTCCAACCCTGAAATGGAAGACAGATAAAAACCTTTTCTAAGGAGGCATTAAAGTGGTGACAAATTGCATTATTAACATAACCATGACTACGAGGATTAAAAAGTGTCTCGTGGTGTTCATAGAGAGAGTGATTTGTAGACAAGTCACACTGGTTAAAAAAATATTCCCTGATTTAATAGTAACCAGTGCAGAGATTAATAAGGAGGATAATATTCATATTTCTTTGTTTTGGTCAGAAGTCTGGCGACTGCATTTTGAAAAAGAGTTTGTTGGCGCACAGCTTTCTTTGAATGTCTTGATTTAGTACTTTCTGTAGTGATTTAAAGAATGAGACATAACGTGTTTGTTTATTAACATTTAACTAAAATCTCAATCCTTCCCCAACCTTAACAAAAGTGCTTTCGTTGTCTTAACCTAATACCACTGCAGGACGCAAGCCTGTGGGTTTTACCATCAATCACCTCGCCTATTAACCGCTGTGATATTCACTCAAAAACATGTTCCAGTAAAACATAATTGGGAAAACAAATACTGATGTTTACATATACATATGCTCTAGACAGACAGGGTTGGCTCTTGGTTCTTGACAGTAAAAACAAAACTGTTTACTGCTGGTGTCACAGAAGGTCCCCGAACTAGCTCATTTGATTGGCCAAAAGGCGTCTCTGATCTCTCAACAGTGCCCACCACTGGCTCTACAGGTGCACAGATCACTTTTGCTCCACATTTCACTGTGGTGCAAAAGAGAGAGCGCTTGTAACTTTTCATTTGTGAGCCACAAAAACAGCTTTTGAAAATGGTGGCAGCAGATTCAAGTAGTTGATCATTATTGACTTGTGTCTTCTAGAATATCCATCATCATCATGCGGATGTGCAAAGATTGTCCATGACTTCACATTTTTTGATGTAGGTGTTTTAATGTGTTTTGCACCATATTCACTGTAACAACTGTATAAAAATGTGAGCATATTATTCATTTGTGATACGTAGAACAGGATTTGTGCACCTGCAATGAAGAATGTATGTCACTGTTGTGTTTGTGGGAGACAAAACAAGTTCTGTTTGCTCCCTTCATACTTCACCTTTCCAGCCAGCCTTTCTGTCTGCGCAGCATGTTTCACTAAAAACAATTCTCTGAATTCATGCTGGATCTGACTTCTAAAAATATAGTTTCGTTTCTCTTAACCAGAGATGTCACTTTTGTTTTCCTGTGGCCCCATGGAGCCCTCTGTCATCTTCCACTTTTGATGGCTATTCTGAGAAGCATTAGGCTGTTAGTCTTAACTGTCAAATGCAAGGGTGTTGTGTGGTGAATTTTGCATCTCCACAGAGTGAATTTTTGTTATGTAAAGGTGGTCAACCAGAAATATCGATCCAATAAATTGAGATATTTCAATCAATGTCATCTCGAAAGCCGCTTGGCTAAAAAGACATGATAATACTGTTTATTACTGCTTCTGCAATCATGTGCATCAGCTTGCTCTGGTAAACGCTTAATTAAGAGTAAAGTTATTACTGATGGTAAGAGCACACCCACTTTCATACACTACAGAAAATACAGATACTTCCTACTAAGGCGTGATTTAATAAAGACAGTCTTGTTTCCACTGCTGTGTGAACCGAAGGGCACCAATTTAGCTGGTTTTCAAGAAACTTGAGGGTAAGCATCACATTATTAATGCATTAGTGCACAGCGTTGATGTGCACATTCAAAGTAAATTGATACCACAATATGAATACAACTCGTAGCTAAACATTTTGGATATTGTATGTATTACTGGTGTAAGATGGATGTTTTCTACAATTGCAAGATAAAGTGTTAAAGATCAAGTCTTGAATAATTGATGCTACATTTGGCCATGGCTCAAAATGTGTGCTATTGAGAAACTTGATTTTATCAAAGGTAATACTGATTTGGCCAGAGAAAAAATGGGGGAAGTTAGATCTGAAACAAAGAAAGCAAAATTAGAATACAAAATTAAATTATATGATTGGCAGATAATCTTAGAAAATGTAATGCATTGGTGTATATCAGGGGTCGCAAGTAAGTCTAGCATTGAGCCAAATTTTTTTCAAGCAGTTACATGGGGGCCAGAACATTATTTCATTCAAATTATTTCAAACCCTTGGATACTCATGTGCACATTTAGGTCAGTGGGCAAAGTGCGGGACTCCCGTTGGAGGAGTTGTATGATCATTCCAAAATTTGGCTGACTTTTTTTTCTCCCTTGTTAAACAAATTAATTAGCCTATAAGGACACCTTTTCACATGCAATAAAGCATGTGCTGCAGTGTGAGTCTGCGTCCCGGCGTTTGATCCGCATTCATAAACCACTAATAAAACCAGACTAATTTTCGTTTCCCTGACGAAATTCAGGGGAATCCAATCACGTTTACTGACGGCTTTTTCAGAGGTGTGTCAAGTAAGCCAGAGACTCTTTCGAATGTCCTTCAGGACTTTCCAAAGTAAAAGCTCTCAATACACTCAACATAAGGCACTGCTGCAACAAACATTCTCATGGTTTTATTTTGAAGGGACAATCCCTTAAGGGGAAGTGATTATGTGAGTAACTGTTGATGTCATGGCTGAGATCTATTTCAGCACCAGCCGCCATCAATTTATTTATTTTTTATTTCTCTCTGGCCGCGAGCCAGATATTATTGGCGGCAGGCCAGTTCTGGCCCGCGGGCCGCCTATTGCCAACCACCGGTGTAGATTAAACTACCCAACAGTAACACTGTTAAAATTAACATAAAAATCTGCTGATGTAAATGATCTGAATATTTCTCCCTCCACTTTCTCAAGTGTAGTATACACAGTCAATCAAAGGAGGCTCCACCCCTGCTGAATATGGACATTGTACTATTTGTAAAAAGCCTATCTCTATTAAACAGTTTTTAATTGTGATTGAACTCCAAGCTCTTCCTATGTTTTTTACTCTTTACTAACTTTGTAAGTTTGTTTATTTGACTGTGGTGAAGCCAATGGAGATTTGGTTTTTCTGGGTTACATTATCTGGATCATCCTGCTGGTCGTTTAAATTTGTTGAAACCAGTGTAACAACTGGGAAATTGTTCACTGGTTGTTCAATGACTTCCTAATGAACGCTGATGCGGGCAAATGTTCAATACTGGTTTTACTGGATTTAAGTGCTGCCTTTGACACCATTGATCATAGCATCCTGTTAAACAGACTGAGGCACTGTGTGGGGGTATCTGGTACTGCAATGAACTGGTTTGCCTCATACTAAGTTTTGTGTCACTATAAATAATTTCAAGTCTTCTTTCTCTACCATCAACTACGGTGTGCCTCAGGGCTCAATCCTTGGACCCATTTTGTTTTATATATATATATATGCTCCCTCTGGGTGATGTCATACGCAGGCGTGGTATTTCCTTCCATTGTTATGCAGATGATACACAGTTATACCTACCTGTACAGCCCACTGACCTTAGTATGCTGAGCTCACTAGAGGACTGCCTTACTGACAGAAAACATTGGATGTCAAATAACTTTCTAAAACTTAACTCCAATAAAACAGAAATCCTGGTTATAGGTCCCCAACATCTCTGCAATCAAATTCTGCCCTCTTTTGGCGACTTGCTACAACACATGAAGCCTGTTGCAAGATATCTTGGCGTGCTATTCGATAGTAAGTTATGCTTTGAGCATCATGTTTCTAAACTGGTCCAGTCCAGCTTTTACTACCTTAGAAATATCGCAAAAATAAGGCCTATTTTAAATGTTACAGATGCAGAAATTGTTATACATGCCTTTATCTCCTCACGCATTGATTATAACTCTTCACTTGCCTTAATCAAAAAACCCTGAATAGGTTACAGACTGTACAGAACTTGGCTGCTCGGCTCTTAACTAGGACAAGAAAATGTGATCATATCACCCCTGCACTGGCTCCCTGTTTGTTTTAGGATTGATTTTAAGATTTTACTCATTACTTTTAAGGCTATTCATGGCTTGGCTCCGGATTAGATTTTAGATATTTGAACTCCTTATGAGCCTTCCCGTGGTTTAAGATCCTCTGGCAAGGGCCTCTTGTCCATTCCTGAAGCCAGACTAAGAACAAAAGGTGACCAAGCATTTGTTGTCAGGGCCCCGAGGCTCTGGAACGACTTGCCTGAGGAAATTAGGCTGGCAGGGTCAGCTTCTTCTTTCAAATCTCTTTTAAAAACTTACTTTTACCGGAAAGCATATCCAGATTTTATCTGAGCTGCCACTCGTTTTACTATTCCTGCCCTACCGTTCTTATCACTTTGTTTCCTTGTCTCATCTTCCTTAAGTCCTACTGAACATATTTGTTATACTCTATTGTTATCCTTGTTCTTATATTCTGTATTTTAACCCCCTCTATTTCAGTCCCTTTGGTGCATTTCTCAAATCATCCTTAACACACAGTCTATCTCTCAAAAGAAAATCTTTGTCACTGAACTTGTCAGTGCCATCAGAACAACAAGTCCTTGTGTCTTGTTTATGAACAAGCAAGTCAAAATGTTTAGCCAGCTTGTCAATATAACAGTGTACTCTGTAAGTATTTTCTGATGTACATTTTGGCCAAGATTTTGATGACAATGATTGAAAAGGCTGCACTTTTTTAGTATGGCATATGTCACTTTCACCAGTACAAAGTTATACATTGCAGGAGAGAGGACAGGAATCACAGCTATGCTTTTACTGTTTGTACTGTTATTTGTTGACAGAGCATGTCATTGTAAGAAGTAAAGAAAGAGACAGGACTGTTGCTTGGGATACAGTACACCCATGTGGCTGACGTTCCGGTCTGATGTATCACACTGTATCACATTCTCTTCCACATCACAACAGATCTCTCCATGAATTTACACATTTACAAGAAAATTCTAATAGACATGTATAGAATGTCTATCTATATACATTATATATTCATATATGTATATGTCTATCAATATATATATATATATATATATATATATATATATATATATTCATATATTCATATACGTGGAGCCCTAATCAAATATTTTTTTACTCATCAATCCTCACTGAAGACTAAATTTGTCTTTTTTTATATGTTAATATTTATATTTTTAAGTTTCTTGCTCAGGGACACATGGGTGGACTTGTCACAGTGAGGAGTTGAACCCCCACCAAAGGCATGTGTTCTATCCACTGTACCATCACCACACCCATTGCCCTGACCACAATTGCATAGTAAAATCTAATTTGTTCAGTACTTTTTTGAACCAATTAGTTGCTGTACATTTAAACTACTACCCTGTCTGCATCAGTAACTGAGCTTTCCTATTGTTACAGCTTGAGAACGAACAAAACAAGAACTTGACGAACAACAAGAACATGAGACGAGCAAGAAAAAAACACAAGTATACCCACCAGGCTGTGAACACTGATTACACAAACAACACACAGTCATTAAACAGAGGGCATTTATTTCCAAGCTCTTATGCATTTGATAAACATGATAAGAACTCTACCTTTACCCTGACCAATGCTGTTCCACAAAAAATCACATTCAACAGTGGAAGCTGGAACAGAATGGAGAAGTGCATCAAATGTGTTCTGGATGATTACTGTATCAAGAACAATGGCACTGGCTTTGTGGTAACCGGAGCACAGCCCAGTGCCAACAACACCCTCAAGAACAGGGTTAATATTCCTTCCATGCTCTGGTCAGCATTCTGCTGCTATAGTCACAGTGAGAAGGAGTGGATAGCAAGTGCACACTGGGGCGAAAATATTCCAGAAAGTGGTGACAATACATATCTGCAGACTAAGACCTTGGCAGAGCTCCAAAATGAACTGAGCAGAGGATATGCTTCAGTATTTGAAGTGTTTCCTGGAACAGAATGTCCTCTCCACACCATTGTCACTCAGCTCTACCCAAAACTAAACAAAACATGCAAATGTCCACCACCACTTTCAACTACTTCTGCCCCTCCCACAACCACCTTTACCTCTCCAGTTTCAACCTCTACACATCCTGCTACCACATCTGGTCTTTTAACTACCACTTTTGCGACTCTGACTACTAAATTTGCCTCTCCCAGTACCACATCCGTCCCTTTTACAACTACATCTACCCCTCTTACTACCACATCTGGCCTTTTTACTACCACATCTGGCCTTCCCAGTACCACATCTGTCCCACCTTCTACTACATCTTCCACTCCCAGTTCCACATTTGTCCCAATTTCTACCACATCTACATCTCCCAGTACCACATCCGGCCCTTTTACAACTACATCTGCTCCTCTTACTACATCAGGCCTTTTTACTACAACATCTTCCCCTCCCAATTCCACATCTGTCCCACTTTCTACTACATCGTCCACTCCCAGTTCCACATCTGTCCCAATTTCTACTACAACTCTTAGTACCACATCTGGCCTTTTTACTACAACATCTGGCCCTCCCAGTTCCACATCTGTCCCACTTTCTACTACATCTTCTCCTGCCAGTACAACATCTGTCCCACTATCTACCACATCTATATCTCCCAGTACCACATCCGGCCCTTTTACAACTACATCTACACCTGTTATTACCACATTTGTGCCATTTACCACCACATCCCTACAACTTTCTACAACATCTACCCCTCTTACTACCACATCTGGCCTTTTTACTACCACATCTGGCCTTCCCAGTACCACATCTGTCCCACCTTCTACTACATCTTCCACTCCCAGTTCCACATTTGTCCCAATTTCTACCACATCTACATCTCCCAGTACCACATCCGGCCCTTTTACAACTACATCTGCTCCTCTTACTACATCAGGCCTTTTTACTACAACATCTTCCCCTCCCAATTCCACATCTGTCCCACTTTCTACTACATCGTCCACTCCCAGTTCCACATCTGTCCCAATTTCTACTACAACTCTTAGTACCACATCTGGCCTTTTTACTACAACATCTTCCCCTCCCAATTCCACATCTGTCCCACTTTCTACTACATCTTCCCCTCCCAGTTCCACATCTGTCCCAATTTCTAACACATCTATATCTCCCAGTACCGCATCCGGCCCTTTTACAACTACATCTACATTTGCTATTCCCACATCTGTGCCATTTACCACCACATCCCTAAAACTTTCTACCACATCTACAACTCCTAGTACCACATCTGGCCTTTTTACTACCACATCTGGCCCACTGTCTACTACATCTTCTCCTCCCAGTTCAACATCTGGCCCAATTTCTACCACATCTACAACTCTTAGTACCACATCTGGCCTTTTTACTACAACATCTGGCCCTCCCATTACCACATCTGTCCCACTTTCAACTACTTCTGCCCCTCCCACAACCACCTTTACCTCTCCAGTTTCAACCTCTACACATCCTGCTACCACATCTGATCTTTTAACTACCACTTTTGCGACTCTGACTACTAAATTTGCCTCTCCCAGTACCACATCCGGCCCTTTTATAACTACATCTGCTCCTCTTACTACATCAGGCCTTTTTACTACAACATCTTCCCCTCCCAATTCTACATCTGGCCCTCCCAGTACCACATCTGTCCCACTGTCTACTACATCGTCCCCTCCCAGTTCCACATCTGTCCCACTTTCTACTACATCTTCTCCTGCCAGTACAACATCTGTCCCACTATCTACCACATCTATATCTCCCAGTACCACATCAGGCCCTTTTACAACTACATCTACACCTGTTATTACCACATTTGTGCCATTTACCACCACATCCCTACAACTTTCTACCACATCTACCCCTCTTACTACCACATCTGGCCTTTTTACTACCACATCTGGCCTTCCCAGTACCACATCTGTCCCACCTTCTACTACATCTTCCACTCCCAGTTCCACATCTGTCCCAATTTCTACCACATCTACAACTCTTACTACTACATCTGGCCTTTTTACTACAACATCTGGCCCTCCCATTACCATATCTGTCCCACTTTCAACTACTTCTGCCCCTCCCACAACCACCTTTACCTCTCCAGTTTCAACCTCTACACATCCTGCTACCACATCTGATCTTTTAACTACCACTTTTGCAACTCTGACTACTAAATTTGCCTCTCCCAGTACCACATCCGGCCCTTTTATAACTACATCTGCTCCTCTTACTACATCTGGCCTTTTTACTACAACATCTTCCCCTCCCAATTCCACATCTTTCCCACTTTCTACTACATCGTCCCCTCCCAGTTCCACATCTGTCCCAATTTCTACCACATCTATATCTCCCAGTGCCACAACTGGCCCTTTTACAACTACATCTGCACCTCTTACTACCACGTCTGTGCCATTTACTACCACATCCCTACAACTTTCTACCACATCTACCCCTCTTACTAGCACATCTGGCCCTCCCAGTACCACATCTGTCCCACTTTCTACCACATCTACATCTCCCAGTACCACATCCGGCCCTTTTATAACTACATCTACACCTGTTATTACCACATCTGTGCCATTTACTACCACATCCCTACAACTTTCTACCACATCTACCCCTCTTACTACCACATCTGGCCTTTTTACTACCACATCTTCCCCTCCCAGGTCCACATCTGTCCCAATTTCTACTACATCTTCCCCTCCCAATTCCACATCTGTCCCACTTTCTACTACATCGTCCACTCCCAGTTCCACATCTGTCCCAATTTCTACCACATCTACAACTCTTAGTACCACATCTGGCCTTTTTACTACAACATCTGGCCCTCCCATTACCACATCTGTCCCACTTTCAACTACTTCTGCCCCTCCCACAACCACCTTTACCTCTCCAGTTTTAACCTCTACACATCCTGCTATCACATCTGATCTTTTAACTACCACTTTTGCGACTCTGACTACTAAATTTGCCTCTCCCAGTACCACATCCGGCCCTTTTATAACTACATCTGCTCCTCTTACTACATCTGGCCTTTTTACTACAACATCTTCCCCTCCCAATTCCACATCTGTCCCACTTTCTACTACATCGTCCCCTCCCAATTCCACATCTGGCCTTTTTACTACAACATCTGTCCCTCCCAGTTCCACATCTGTCCCAATTTCTACCACATCTATATCTCCCAGTGCCACAACCGGCCCTTTTACAACTACATCTGCACCTCTTACTACCACGTCTGTGCCATTTACTACCACATCCCTACAACTTTCTACCACATCTACCCCTCTTACTAGCACATCTGGCCCTCCCAGTACTACATCTGTCCCACTGCCTACTACATCTTCTCCTCCCAGTTCCACATCTGTCCCAATTTTTACCACGTCTTCCCCTCTTACAACCACATCTGGCCTTTTTACTACCACATCTGTGACTGTCAGTACCACATCCCTCCCTTTTACAACTTCATCTTTCACTACCACACTTGGAACTCCCACTTCATCTGGCCCTCACAAAAGTACAACTGGCCTTACTCCTATGACAACCAGTACACCCTCAACTAGTGCTGCTACCATTTTGAGCACCACTGCACCTACAACTACAGAAACACCAACAACTATTCTACTTACAACCACTCTTCCTCTAACCACAACATCTGTCAAATTAACTACCACGGCCACTCATCGAACAACAACTGCAATGCCCCAAACAACATCAGTCCATGTATATTCTGCTGTGGCTGTTACATCAACCCCCTCTATTGACGCATCCACAGCTTCTTCCAAACTTTCTCTAGCTACTGCCACAGGTTCTGCGAATCCTCAAACTGCCACCACCACTTTCAGTGGCATTACTGTCTCTTCAAACTCAACCGAACCTCAACTTACATTAGCTTCAGCAACTACTTACCTTGCAAATGTGACTAGTGAGCCTTTAACCTCTCCAACATCGCAGAATAGTATGTCTGTTCCTTCAAGCACCACCACATCTACCTTTCAGACCATAAATGCTTCTTATCCAACATTCAACTCCACTAGTCATCCAACCTCAGTAGCTCATCACATCATCTTTAGTCATAGTCCACCTTCCTCTTCAGCCACTTATCCAACCTCAAACCCTCCAATGATGTCTAACTCTCCTTTTCCGCTTTCAAATTTATCCATCCAGTGTCCTCCTTTTACACAAATATCCATTTTTCACCATTACCAGAATGTCCTTGCCTACTACAAATTGTTACTACAATACCAGAATAACACCTAGCTGGTTTTTTGTGCAGATTCTCTTGCAGTAAATACATCTTTTTACCAATAAAAAACTTTGTGTTGTAAATGAAATTATGGCTTTGTAACAAAAAATGTTTTAGGTATAACTTCAAATAGTAAATTTTATTTAACTTGATGATTTAATTAACTTTATTTTCCTCTTCAATTTGCTTTTGAATGTTGTTTGCCTCACCTCCAACCAAATGCACAGTATTTAATACTGATGGGAAAATGCACATTGTTTACTGCCAGTGTATTTATAACATTGCCAGTACCACGGTGCACCAGATTAAAAAACAACCCATCAAGCGCTGGATGACCCAAATGGACCTGATCAAGAAACCCAAAATCTTTTTTTGCAATTTCTCAAGCATCTTGTTGAGTAAAATTTTACTTCTGTAAAATATACAGAAGTGAAGATACATAACATCTTCAACTGCCATTCTTCCCTGCTGTAACAGTGTTTACATTTAGTTTCTGCCTTTGTTTATCTGTCTCTTTTGATCTCTAGATTTTTCAGATGTTAAATTGTTCAATCACATATTAAAAGCCTGAAAAGTAAAATTGTAATTTTTTGAATATGCAGTGGTTATTATAGCAAATACCAAATAAAAAAATTGAATAGCTCTTTGCATGTATGAGTTTTGTTTTGTATCATATTTGATATAGCCTATTCGGAATTTATTGCAATGTTTTGCTTTTTAAAACAACAAAAACATGCAGAACACAACATGTTTTAAGCCTTTTATCATCATCATCATCATCTTCCACTAACTGCTCCATGTCACTTGAATAGCCACATATCTCAATTTCTCCTCTAAATATACCTATTATGTCTATCTCAGACCTTTAATTAGTTTAGGCCAACTCAAATAAGTAAAAGAGTGTATGTAGCTTAATGAAATGCCTGATGAAAGTTGTGCAATAAAACTATGATTTACTATGATGATGTATACATAAATTAATATATATACCTGCTGTAACTAATTTGATGCACACATTTACTATAAAATAAGTTATGAAATATTAATTAATTATACATGGCTCCAATCTAGTAAGTATTCATCAAGTATCCAAAACAATCTGAATGTTTTTCTCACCTTAGGTCCTTCAAAATTGGCAAAGCATCCTTGCAAAACCACCTCAGTTGAAGGACCTCTGGTGGATTTAAGAGTTTTACAATTTACATTTAACCACAAATACTGTAAATAGATATTACATCTGTGCTTAAAGACTTACTTTAAGCAATAAATGTTGAAATACTTAGTGATCCCTTTCTAATACATTTCACTCCCACTCTTGAATAATTATTTATGTTTTATGTATTTATGTTTTTCCACAAAAACATCAACTACCTTGTTAAAAATTCTTAAAATGACATCTAAGCCTTCTCCCTTCTCCCTTAAATCCAGATTTAATGAATATTCAAATGTTGTCAGTTGTCTCAGTATGAACTTAAAGGTTTTAATCAAAATTACCACTAGGTAGCGTATCCATCTCCCATTTGAGGACAACTCCTCTGAATCTATTGCACACCATCTCCATCCATCGCCAACCGCTTATCGTGTGTACAGGGTTGTTTGGGGCTGGAGCCAATCCCAGCTGACATCGGGTAAAAAGGTGAGGTAAACTCTGGACAGGTCATCTATGGCACACCTACTGGTGAAACTGGCCCTTTCACACCCATCAGTGCCAGCAGTCCGTTTGTGTGTTCACATCTTTCTTCACAAATCATGCATGTTTTGGTAGAGACGCGACCTTTCTCTCTATTTATCCTTCCAAAAATATAATTAAAATGGACGGCTTGGTTTAGTGCAACCCGTACCTGCACCAGCCAAATCAGACTCGGTGCAGAGACAAGTCAGGAGAGGTCTAGGTAAGTTACACATTGTGTTACATGTCAGGCAGGATCACACAGGGACAGGACTTCAGCACACCCACTAAGTCAAAGCTTGTACTCTTCAAAAAGAAAATTTAATTACATTACATTCTGTTCCTAACCAAGTCCAGTGGTTTTCCATTTTGTACATGTTTAATTTTACTTCTGCTAAGGAAACCGTGACCATCACAAATTATTTTCAGTAGAAAATAAAACATAAACAAGGAAGTAGCCTAAATTACAGTTTATCCTTATGAGGCTACAGATGTCCCCTATTATGTAAATATAAAAAACCACAAGTATTAATGGAAATGTTATGGCAAAGTTAGAAATGATTGTCACACTTGGATAAACTTGTACAAATGTATATAATGAAAATGAAAACTTCTTGTGCCACCTTTTTAGACATTTTTACAATAGAACTGCAATATAACAAATTATATAATCATAAAAATACCCTAAAAAAGGGATGGGGGGACTATGAATTAATTTATATAAAAATGTAAAAATATATAAAATATAAACTATGTATGTATGTTTGATGCCTTGTTGATGCTGAGGCAGGTTGTGTGAAGCTATGAGCTATAAGCCAGGAATGAAACTCACACAGTGTCCCTGATCCTCCAAACACAAAAAGTGTCTATAGGCACCATAGAGGTCCTCTCTGGTGTCATCCCCAGGCTCCCTGATGTGGCACAAATGTTAGTGATGAGCATCATCTTTCTCTGGAAAAAGTTGGTTTGTTGGTTTTACTGATAGTAAGAGCGCACCCACTTTCATCCACTTACAGAAAATAAAAACACTCTCTCCTCAGGCTCAGTTGTCATTTGATGGAAAAAGTATAAAAACCTATTTATAGTTATTAATCTTTATATTTTTCTTTCCAGAAAATACAAAACTGCACCGCTGGAAAACAATTATTGATGTTTACTTAAACATAGTTAAAAATATGATTCACATGAACTTTGTTTGGCTTCTGATGGAGGGTATAGGAGCCAAATGTTTGTTTATTTTTTTTGTTTGGTCACTAGATGGTTCTGTAGGCTCAACTATATGAGCACGGGGGCAACAGGTAGTTGTCAGGTGTTGACCCCGGAAGGGCAAACAAGTTTTTGACCGCTATGGCGGGGTTTGTTTGAATGCTGTTGTCGTGTTATTTTTTGGGGAATCTTCGTGCTTGTGTACAATAAATTGGTGATATTGCAACGAAAACAATGCCTCTGGATCTGATTTACACGCTACAACAGGTACCACATTAGCCGCCTAGCGTGTCATGCACAAGCAGCTACGGGTCAACAACATTAGCACAGTATTAGACTGGCTACATTACTGTCAAAAACTTGCCTTTTTTGGACTTTGTTTGAACTCCGATGCCTTTGGAACAAAGCGGCGAAGACGTCGTGGGACGACAGCGTGGCATGACAACACACGTCGTCACTAAATACGTCGCCACCAGTAGGCTACACCATTGTCAGTGTAACTCCTATTTTAACTTTATTGAGTGAATTCAAGTCATGGTTTGTACAGCCTGTGTTAAATGCTTTTATTCTTGTGGCGACTGGGAACTCTGTAGTAGCCTACAGTTCATAGCCTGTGTTGTGTTTTATTGTTTGGATTCACAGTCCTATAAAATTCCACTGAAGAAGATAATGCTTTCACTTCCCCACAATGTGAAAATGGTTGTATTAGGCCTACATTTACTTATAAAATTAATCATTGAAGTATTAGAGCTGTTTCATGCTTATTCAGTTTGTGTTATTATTATTTGTTATAGGCATTTGCCTTTGGTTATTTTATTGGCAACAATGTATTTTAAATGTATATTTCTGCATAATGATTTGGATTATTTTATCTCTACTAATGCGTAACTAATTAATATAATCCTAAAGGAGTTATAAGATACTATATTGCCTTATGTCTGCACTTTATTTTTAGCAATTACATTGTTGTTGAAGCAAATTAAAAATCTTAAGACCCTCAGTGAAGTTCCTCATTTTCTATCGGGATGCTACACTAAGAGAAACCAGCATACTATTATACAATGATACAAACGTAATTTCCCACTCTGCATAGCTTATTGTTAATGCTCATAATATAAAGCCATGATTCTATACCAAGAAGAACACCATATAATGTTCATCTGTAGACAAACATACAGGCAGTGTTGGGGAGTAACTACTTACATGCAATTTAGTCAAATAATTTAATTACAAAATAAATGTAAGTGTTACAGTTAGGCCGACTGGTAAAATATGTAAAAAAACAAAAAGGACTAATTGGTGGCCTAAAGTGAAGCTTTTTTTGGAATACCTGTCTGCAATACTTTTATTGATGAGTCAAAGTCAAACATACATATACAAGCACACACACAAACGTCGCTCGACTGTTTTATGGTAGATGGCTGAAGATCCCAAACAGAGAGACAAATACTGACAAACTGAATTAGCTACCTTTGTTGTCACCTTATAATTTAAGTTATCGGAAATTGGGATTAAACGCATAAGTCAATGGTATAATTCAAGCAATCCAGTTTAGCGTCAGCCTTCAGCAGTCAACACTCACACTATGCTAGTAATCCCTCAAAGCCACAAAACCTGACCTCATGTAATTATTAGCAATGCTGAGCACTGATTTTTTGAGGGCCCCAAGTGAGTCTTTGAAGGACAATTTGGAAACTGCAGTAGTTTGTCTGGATTCTCCCCTGCAAGTGTTGCTTGATATGTTTCAGAAAAAATGTACATCAATACATAATTCTTTTCTGGGTTAATGCAAGGAAGAGATAATAGAAATACACGGACTGAAGCGGACACAGCAGAGAGATCCAGACCGAGCAGCACACCAGATTCATCATTGAAGTAGGGGGAGCTAATGAGCATCTGGATGTTGAATTTACCACAGCCTATGACCAGCAACCTGAAGTCTTCGGCCCTCAGGTCATCCAGGGCTTATCTGTGTCCTGTGTGAATACATGTTGGTGACTGACAAAACATTTGTGTTCCAAAAACAGATACTATTTGAGATAAGGCTTTGATGTAACACTGAATATCTGATTTTTCACAACCAATAAGAGTGTAACATTTTAAATTATTTTTACATAATATGCAGAGGCTGTGGAGCCACCAGCATTCTGTGAATGTTTGAATTGAGTGTGACCAGTAATTGTTACTCTTTTCTCACTAAAACTAGCCCTGTGTCTAAATTAAGTGTCATAATTCTGTTTGCAAATTTCCAGTAAAACACCTTGTCAACGTCATTGTCATTTATAGTATTATTCTTGATGTTACCTAAATCAATAAAGAAAAATGCTTCAGAAGATTACTTATTCATTTCCAATCCCATAAAGGTGTAATTCTCAGTTTTATGACATCTTTTTTTGAAGATGGGGAGCATGTTGAAATATAAATTATATTATGCCATCTTTATTTAATTTATCAGGGGTAGCATATTCTGATAGACTAATTATGATTTTTATGTTGATATTGTTGACGATCAGCCAGTGTCTCGACGGTATGCCCAACAGCAAGGTTGCACAGATTTATGGGCGGGGAAACAGACTACGCTTGTGGGGCACACGCATGCGCAGAACCAGGTAGCATAAATCGACAGAACACCGAAAAAAGTAATTTGGACAACCTTACTGATAAAAATCTGCAAGAAGTACTAGAGGCAACATTTTTT